TCTAGCACTTGTTTATGGCTGTGTTCTCGTTAGATATTTTGATTCTCCAGTATCTGCTGCAGGTCGCTCCTCGTGCCACGGTCAGTCACAGCTTAGGGTCCAGGACAGTAACCCCACCCCAAACACAGGATAGAAAACCTTACATCAAGAACCACTACGGAATTAAAAAGGGAACCTACGTAACAATACCCCTCAGGATAAGAATCAATTAGGATAAATTAACAGGATAAAATAGCTCAATGGATTATAACCCTTAGGATAAAAACCCGTACAAGAAAATAGCCCACAGGAAAAAAAAAAGCTCAGACTAAGGACAACTGTATGATAAAAATAAGCCCATTGATTTTAAAGTCCACAGGATATTAGAGTATAAAATTCCAAAAGATAAAACCTCATAGGATCGAAGCTTATACTATAAAACCAAATATGATTAAATCCCAAACGATAAAAACTTACAAGCATAAAAAAAACCCGTAACGAAAACTACAGAAAATACAACTAAATAGGTTACATACAGAATAAAATCCCCAAATTATGCAAACCCACAGGATATAAACGGCCAGAAAAACTAAAATCCCGCAGGAAAGAAAGTCGGTAATAAAAACACCAACTATAAAAAACCACCAGGATAAAAACCACCAGGATAAAAACCACCAGGATAAAAACCACCAGGATAAAAACCACCAGGATAAAAACCACCAGGATAAAAACCACCAGGATAAAAACCACCAGGATAAAAACCACCAGGATAAAAACCACCAGGATAAAAACCCTAAAGACAAAAAATCTAATGGGTTCATTCAAATCACATGGCAGGTTTTGGTTAGGATAATCGGGTAGGCTCCTTTGGCCATGAAGGGGTCAAACTAGCCAGGAAGGATACAAGGATAACATAAACCCTCTTACGTGTGTCATAAAAAACCCAGCTTATATAAACCATAGACGACAAAACTAAAGAAGAAAAACCCACGAAACAATAAACCAAGAGAATAAAACCTAAGATAAAAATCCACAGGACACCATAAGACAACAACAACAATAACAACATCAACAACAAGAAAAAGAAGAAAATTATTGTATGTTATATGAAATAAGTCAAAGGCCGGTGCGTGCTATGTAGATATTTACTTAAAACAAAATAGGAACTGGGGCGTGTAATATATGTACCAAGGACCACCACCACCACAGCAGGCAGGTGAACCTTAATCAGTTCAATACCATAAATCTTTAGTGTTTAACGAAAGAGTTCATTTCGCACTATATACAGAAAGATAGGATATGTGTGAGTCGTGATTCAATGTGGCTTAGCATTTATCCATTGTTTGTGTGTGTGTGTTTAGATATATGTGTGGGTTTTTAAGTGTAAATGTGGGTATTTGTGCTGTTTGTGTCATTAGGATTATCTTTAGCAAGGTAAACTGTACTTAGTGTGCCATTCCTTAACTATACATGGTGTAACCGACATCATTAAAGACCATTTCGTTAAAATAAGCACTAAATACACGGCAATAATACCAGAGCACTTACGATCATTCTTATATCGGCAAACACCTGACTGAGAAATTACCAACTTGCCGTAAATTCAGAAAAATACATGTTATCCAAGTACCCACACTCATGATGTACTCAAGAATATAATTCAATGATTCGCCCATGAAATTAACACTGCGCTTACAAAATTCTTTCATAATTCACAAACATTCAGATATTAATGAAAACAAACTCTCACGACCTCCTTGGCTAAAGTACCCACATGAACTTCATTGCTTATGGAGTACCACAGAACCTCCGAATTTGCAACTTTTTTTCTTAGGGGGTGTTGCTATAGTCAACAAACGTTCCAGAAATGCAGTCATAACCACAAAACTCTTCTATGACCTAACTTTCTAATTTTGCTAATGTCATCAAAGTTGTTGCAAGCAAATCCTTGTCAATTGTGGAAAGTTATGTTTTGAAAGCTGTGTCCATCTGCCCACGAAAGAGCAAAAAATCACTTCCATTACTCCTGAACGATACTCATCTGCCAATTGTTAATCATGTCAAGGTATTCTAGTAATTAATTATTACAACTAGCTAATGTGGCCTTTAGACCTTTAGCAGCAGTATAAAAACAAATTCGGTTAATCCTATGACTCAGACCCACCTACTTACCTCACACGGCAAACTACATCCATGGATATATTTTATATCATTTAGGTTCATACCCCAACCCAGACGCATGAATGAACACTACAAGTGATCAACAATCCCAATAGTGACATAGCTACTTAACAATAAACTCTATAAGCAGAACATAACAGAGGACGCTTATCACTTACTAATTATTTCAAAATGTAACCTTGTCTTAATTTTGACACTTATTTTTTTTTCACATAGACGTCAGGTTCTTGTTCTTAGTAACTGTACAGTAACAAACGTCTAATTACGTTTCACCTGTTTATTATACAAATATTTTCAGTACACCTCTCTTTACTGTAAGGGATCATGTGTATGGCCTTGTACTGTGCATTGTATTCCGATATCCAATGGTACATATACCCAATTATCCGCAATATTCCTTTCTTTATTATTATTATTATTATTATTATTATTATTATTACTAAAATCACAGTTCCCTAAGCCAGGAAGCCGAGCAAGCAACACACAGCAGGCAGCATAAACTGGGATCCCGCAGCACGGAGCTAAGTACGTACATTAGCCTTGCTGCCTCATAATTCCCCATCATAATGTGATCAACCCCGGGCGCCAGGGAGAGAGAGGGGAAGCTCGGGAGAGAAGGCGATAGAAAAGGGAGAGAGAAAGAAGGGGAGAGGGAGAGAAGGGAATACGGTGAGTGAAAGAGAGAGGGAAACAAAACGAGAGATGAAAAAGAGAGAGTGTGTGTGTGTGTGTGTGTGTGTGTGTGATGATAGTGAATGTGAAAAAGAGAAGGAAGAAAGAGTGAAAAGACAGCAAAAAGGGGAAAGAGAGAGAGAGAAAGAGAGCACATACTCCTTCCTGGCACTCTGGGCACCGACTCAAAAACCACTGATATATACTGCAGTCATTAAAGCTGGTTAAAAAAAGAAATTCATGTCTACAGGGAAAATTCCACCAGACAGAAACTCACTGGACAAAATCCCACCACACAGAAACTCACTAGACAAAATCCCACCAGGCAGAACTCGCTGGACAAAATCCCACCGGACAGAAACTCACTGGACATAATTCCACCAGACAGAATTTCAGTCTACAAAATCCCATCGCCACTACAGTACAAATACGCTTATCACTACACACCAAAAAAATGTGTATATGTATATATATATATATATATATATATATATATATATATATATATATATATATATATATATATATATATATATATATGAAAATTCCCCGTCAAAAATTATTATAAAGATTAATGTAAATACATGCTCGATTATAATGCTTCTCTTTGTACTTAATCTGACCTTTGACCTTGACCTCTGATACACTGGTTGACTGTCTCTTTATTAGGACGTTTCATGACATTAGCAGGGAGTGGTTCAGTAGTAGTTACGGAGAGGGAGGAAGTGTGACGAACAGACGGACACACGCACGGACACACTAACAGATGCACGTATAGATGGATGAAAAAAATATTTGCAGGGTCACCATTATCACTGTAACAAAATTAACTCAAATATTGTCATATTCTCCAGGTTGGTAATTTTTTTTCGTCATCAAGAATGGTATTCATAGAGTTTACTGACCCAGAATTGAAAAATATATATATATATATATAATCCCGGTATAAACAAACGAACATAATTGCCACTGTATACTTATCAATATTCTATAGAAATAAGTATATAAAATTATGCTAGTTATTAATATTTTTTTCTGACTCACAGCTGACCCCTTGTGATTTACTCAATTTCAGGTATGGAATTTTACATGTATAGTGATAACCATGTTTACCTCACAAATAAGAGGTCATAGTTTCGATTCCAAGCCGAAGTGAGAGTTAGAGTAGCCCCCTTTGTGTCCACTTTATTCTGTTTACATTGATGTGAGACCGGTATGTAAAACAGCTAGCGGGTCATGTTCCTAGGATAATGGTTAACCAGTGTGGTCGGAAAGTTGTCCGGTCTTCCTGAGCTCTTTCTTGCCACTGGGTTATACGTCTCTCTAACTGTCTGCGGATATGGTCGTTGTGTTGGCATTAACCTCTACACCTTGGCACTGGGTCACACACCTCACTTACTATAATTTATCGATGTGTAGGCAGCAACTTCTACGTCTTAAACAATTTCTGCTGGGTGGCTTAACTGAACGGTCGGTCACCTCACTGGCGAAGGGCAACCGTGATGATATATTTACACGTGCTGTTGGTCCTTCTACCTGGGGAACGCACACTAACGCTGCACCCACTATCGGGAATCAATTCCTTTACCTGTTTGGTTGACCCCAGGCGTCATACCGCCTCCGCCAGACCTTTGCCCAACTTTAGAAAAAGACGAAGAAGAGGATGAAAAGGAAAGGCGATAAAAAAGAATTAAGAAAACTATTATAAGTAGTAATGCTAACATGATAACAAAATAAGGTAACAGTGACACACGCATTACTGTGTATCCAGTAATTACCGATATTGAAAATATTTAACTGTAATTTGAAAGAGAGATTTAAAATCATTCGTCCCAAATGTCGGCTAGAAATATTTAACCTCAATGAAGGACAAACTTTAATGGGAAGTTTTTCATTAATTAAAGACTCCTGACGTGTAAAAATTAAAAGAAATTTTTTTTTTTACAAAATTATTATAAGAAGGTGAAGCATATTTTTGCCGTAGAAATTTAATTATTCAAAAATTTTACCTTCTAGAATTAAAGTGGGAGTTGTATTAAATGATAAGAGACTAAGGTAGAAGCTGAAAGTCGGAAGTGTATGTCTAGGATTTAAGAGAACGGTGTCTACAATCGGGTTACTTTTATAACTTAGTCTGCCTTTAATTAAGGATTCGTAAACATACTCACCAGCATTGTCTTGGTAACGCCTGTCGTCCTCCGACTGAGTTAGCAACTCTGCAATAAGCTGCTGGACATTGCTGCTGTTTGTTATATGTTGGAGAGCGTTTGGTTGCTCGGGTTTATTGTTTGTTTGTCTGTCTCCTGATACACTCCCTTTCCCTCGGTCAGCCTTCTTTAACTTGGTTCTTTCCTTTTTTGGCTTTGGCCTTTTATTCTTTTTCTTCCTCTTTTTGTTTTTATTTTTTCTCTTTCTATTCTTCTTCTCGGTAACGTTTTTGTTTTCTATAATCTGGCTCAGGGTAGTCTTGATGTTCACACGAGTTAATCCTGTGTCATTATCAACATCCTGGCCACCAACCTCACCCTCCTGCTTATGGCGGGTCGTATTTCTCCCCGGAGCGGTGTTGGCATATTCATTTTTTAGTATAACCCGTTCTTCTTTCATCCCCGTGACAACACCTAAATCTAGTTCTTCCTCCAGAGATTGTAATATACTTTCGTTATCTCTTTCCTCCTTAACGACCTTCACATAAGTTTCAGTCACATGGAAAAGAATGTTGTCTGTGTCGTGAGCCTCGTTTGTAACCTCCTTATCTGTGTTCCTGGAGGCCCCGAAACCCTCAGGCAGCTCCCCTTCATCACTGCTCACGTCAGCCCCGTCTCCCTTGGTGGGAGACGGGACTGGGAGCGTGTGACCCAAATGGACACTCCCGACGGATAATGTTGTGTGATGGATTCCCAAAGGCGGCCACTCTTGCAAGGATTCATCGGGTAACCTTGATGTCTGAAAGGGTCCTTTTAACGACGTTGTGCTCAACATTTCAGGGTTTGTCGAGGTGTCATCTAGGGGATCCGATACCTCAAAGGTCCATACTGAAGCGGGACTGGAGGTCATCCCTTCGTCAGGTTTATGGACTCGTGAGGGGGGTGGTCTGTTGAATGAAGCGTCAGTGTGTGAGACGTGGCTGGTGTCTACTGCTGCCAGGCGACAAAAGCCCAGCGGACCCACAGACGACACCACCACCTGGAAAATAACACAAACAATAGTGGAAGGAGAAATTATGATGGTAACATTAAATATCATGATAAAGTAATCCAGTTTATGGAAATATTTTCCAAGATGATATTAATTATTAAGTATTAAATCACGGAGATATTCTGTAGCTTGGGCACCCTAGTCACCTACTGTACCTCACCGTGCAAAAATTGACACTGACCTTGATCCTGTACACCTAACAAAATCCCACTGGAAGAAAATCCCACTAAACACTATCCCACCGACCACTTCTACATTCAAAATAACAGTGAACCAACTCCTGATAACTCAGATTAAAGTTCTTTAAGTCCTTGGCTTGTTCTGGGCTCCATAATTTTTTGTCCTTGTATGAGAAGAAATACTTCATATCGACTATTCTGCATGATGTCTTGGCAAGCCTGAAATGGTAGACTCTTTTACGTGTAACACTAAACAGCTTGAAAAAGTTGTTTGATTTTTTATTTATGAACTTGTTCAGGATATTAAATGTCATTGGGATCTACCCTGTAGTATGTTACTTAAAGAGTTGTTAGGTTTAGTTAGCATAAATCCTAATGCTCTGGTACCCATGTCCTAACAGCTTAAGTAATATAAGACCTACTCCGGAAAAGCTTAATTGGTTTAGGTTAGGTTAGGTTAGAAGAAAATTTAATACTAAGATAGAATGAAAGGAAGGCTCACGGGCCTTATAGCACATAAGGGGCAGTGCATATACAGCACACTGAATACTAAACTTTTGATTACACGAGAAGGCAGTGTCGCTGGCACTGAATTTGACCACCTTCACTTACTCAACTGTAAAGATAAGTACCGGTTCACAGTTGTCTGGACAAAGAGTGATATTTTGATCTACAACCCTCATAGTCAATCTCAACCATAGAATACACTTCACTCTCACCTGGAAGACAACGCCGTGAGCCTCCTGGGCGTGGAGGAGAGAGTACCTGACGTACCAGGAGGGCTGAAGGACTGTCACCACACTGATCACGCCCGTGGTGATCCCCAACAATGCCCACACGCCCACCACCCACCATGATGTCACCAGCTGCACCGACCGAGCTCGCATGGTGGACCAGCAGTTGTGGTTCCATCGCCAGTACCACCAGCAGCAGTAACAGCAGGAACGTTGGCCCTTACACGAAGCCTTCAGTAACGACCCTCACAAACAGTAAAGTTCTATATGCTCTGAGGTTTTGTATTCTTTATAATGATTCTCACTTTGACGTTTATAATGACTCTCACTTCGACTGTTGTCTTTCCATTTTGAAGATATTGCTGTCCTGTTACAGTTATGTTTTCAAATAATGACACTCATCCGCATTCTTTTTTCTTTTCTTTTTTTATCTCTGCACACGTTCCATTTTACAGTCCCATGTCATGACATTTTTCCTGAAATGAAATAGGAATAAAGACTGTTGATAATAGAGAAAAGTTAGAGGCCTATAGATACGCTTATAGGGGCAAACATTCGACAAACACTTGAGATATCACCTTCATCACCCCCAAACACATTACTGCCCACCACAACAAACTTTCACCACAGCAAATAATTCCAACCGTAAATATTTTCCACCACATACAAACACTCCCCCACAATTCTTCACCTCCCGTCACATCCATTCAACCAATAAAAAATGGAGGGGAGAAAATAAAGGGATTTAATGAGTGGAAGAAAGAGGACAGGTATAACGAGAGTGACTCAGTGAGCTGTGTGTGAGAGAGTGAATACCGCAGGGGAGAGTGAATAGAAGAGCAGAGGTGGTGCTAGGGAGGGTTGGGAGTGGATGGGGGGCAGGGAAAGAGTGAAGGAGAGGGAACTGAAAGAGAGGAGGCGGTGGCGGGAAGGATTGGAAGAGAATGAGGACAAGGGAGAGGGAGGAAAATCGAAAAAGGATATTGGTGCTTGGGGGATAGGGAGAGGATGATAGCTGGAGACAGAGAATGAGAAAATAAACGAGGAAATAGCTGGTGGTGTTGAAGAATAAAGGGTAAAGAGAGAATAAATAAGAATGTGGATGGAGAAGGAAAGATGATGAAGTTAGGGAAAGGTGGAGGAGAATGGGGACGAACTATGAACGAAAATGATAAAGAACAACAACGAAGGGGGAATAAGAATAATGGAAGTTTAAGGGAGAAAGGGATTAAGATAAGACCAACTCATAATAAAAGTTTAAGAGAGAATTAGAAAAACAAATAATTGTGATTTGCAAGAAAGTGTAAATAATAACGCTTTGTCGAGCAGAAGTAATTTACAAATGCAGAAGGACTTATGACATACTTAGAAGACAAGAAAAGATTAGAAACTGACACAAGGAAAAAAGTAGAAGGGCAGTTTGTTAAAAGTGCATTAGCAAATAAGCAGGAATAATGAGAAAGTGAGACATCAATTAGGAAAAATAATATGCATGAAGAAACTAATTGAAACTTAAGAAATTAGACGACGAAAATATAGAGGAATCGTGTGAGAGAGAGAGAGAGAGAGAGAGAGTCAAGGTACAAATGCAATTAACGGTTACATTTTCAAGTAGAATAGAGAGGACTTTTGTGAATATGAAGGAGGCGGGATTTTTCCTCTGCTGGGAAGTGCCAAGAAAGTAAAGGATTCAAGACTTCTACATGTGTATCCTCACAACAGACGTGTCAGATATACTTGAAATTACATACATACATACATACATACATACATACATACATACATACATACATACATACATACATACATACATACATACATACATGCATACATATATATATATATGCTGATAATTAGCTCTTTCTCTTGCAATTATTTATATCTTCTAAGTCAACAATAATTTCCGTATTTACATGTACACCCGCCAAAAAGTCTTGGCGTCTCACCTGCCTCTTCTTGAACCCAGAGATTCAGAGACTTGTTTCGGTTTCACAGGTCTCTGAATCTCTGGGTTCAAGAAGAGGCAAGTGAGATCACGGGACTTTTGTTGGCGAGTGTACATTTTAAATTATAATATTTTGCCTCACATTTAAAACAATTTTCCCCCAACTACTTTTTCGTCAACAAAATATCTCAGTAAACTTAAAATAATATTCAGATCCAGAAAATACATATACAAAATATAAATACGCATACAACCTTTATTCAACACAGACAGACACTAATTCCCATGTGGTGAGTGTGTTGTGAATAATTGCCTTTGACCTACATATGAATGATCAAAAATCTTATCCAATATCCATTTGACTGACACTCCATGGTTCAGTAAAGTTATACCAAGTTTATTTTTGAGTTTTCTGAATGCTTTTGAGTTGACAATGGACTTCTACGTTAACTAAATCTGCTAATGTGGACGGGAACCAGTCTACTACTCTCACTGTAATACTACGACTTTCACTGTAACACTACTCATCTCACTGTAACACTACTACTCTCACTGTAACACTACTAATTTCACTGTAACACTCTACTACTCTCACTGTAACACTCTACTACTCTCACTGTAACACTACTAATTTCACTGTAACACTCTACTACTCTCACTGTAACACTACTACTCTCACTGTAACACTACTACTCTCACTGTAACACTACTACTCTCACTGTAACACACTACTACTCTCACTGTAACACTCTACTACTCTCACTGTAACACTACTCCTCTCACTGTAATACTACGACTCTCACTGTAACACTACTACTCTCACTGTAACACTACTCCTCTCACTGTAATACTACGACTCTCACTGTAACACTACTCCTCTCACTGTGACACTACTACTCTCACTGTAACACTACTCCTCTCACTGTAATACTACGACTTTCACTGTAACACTATTCCTCTCATTGTAACACTACTACTCTCACTGTAGCACTACTAATTTCACTGTAACACTCTACTACTTTCACTGTAAACTACTACTCTCACGGTAACACTACTACTCTCACTGTAACACTATTACTCTCACTATAACACTGCTACTCTCACTATAACACTTCTAATTTCACTGTAACACTCTACAACTCTCACTGTAGCACTACTACTCTCACTGTAACACTACTACTCTCACTGTAACACTACTACTCTCATTGTAACACTCTACTACTCTCACTGTAACACTACTACTCTCACTGTAACAATACTACTCACTGTAACACTACTACTCTCACTGTAACACTACTACTCTCACTGTAACACTACTACTCTCACTGTAACACTACTACTAACATTACTACTCTCACTGTAACACTACTACTCTCACTGTAACACTACTACTCTCACTGTAACACTACTACTCTCACTGTGTGTAACACTACTACTCTCATTGTAACACTACTACTCTGTCACACTACTAACTCTCACTGTAACACTACTCTCACTGTAACACTACTACTCTCACTGTAACACTATTACTCTCACTGTAACACTACTACTCTCACTGTAACACTACTACTCTCTCTTACTCTCACTGTAACACACTACTACTAACACTACTACTCTCACTGTAACACACTACTACTCTCACTGTAACACTATGGCACTACTACTCTCACTGTAACACTACTACTCTCACTGTAACACTACTACCTCACTGTAACACTACTACTCTCACTGTAACACTACTACTCTCACTGTAACACTACTACTCTCACTGTACACACTACTACTCTCACTGTAACACTACTACTCTCACTGTAACACTACTACTCTCACTGTAACACTACTACTCTCACTGTAACACTATTACTCTCACTGTAACACTCTACTACTCTCACTGTACTCTCACTGTAACACTACTACTCTCACTGTAACATTACTACTCTCACTGTACTACTACTCTCACTGTTACTACTCTCACTGTAACATTACTACTCTCACTGTAACACTACTACTCTCACTGTAATCACTGTAACACTACTACTCTCACTGTAACACACTACTACTCTCACTGTAACACACTACTACCCTCACTGTAACACTACTACTCTCACTGTAACACACTACTACTCTCACTGTAACACTATTACTCTCACTTTAACACTACTACTCTCACTGTAACACTACTACTCTCACTGTAACACTATTACTCTCACTGTAACACTACTACTCTCACTGTAACACTACTACTCTCACTGTAACACTACTACTCTCACTGTAACACTACTACTCTCACTGTAACACTACTACTCTCATTGTAACACTACTCCTCTCACTGTAATATTACGACTCTCACTGTAATACAACGACTTTCACTGTAACACTACTCCTCTCACTGTAACACTACTACTCTCATTGTAACACTACTAATTTCACTGTAACACTCTACTACTTTCACTGTAACACTACTACTCTCACTGTAACACTACAACTCTCATCTGTAACACTACTAATTTCACTGTAACACTCTACTACTCTCACTGTAACACTACTCCTCTCACTGTAATATTACGACTCTCACTGTAATACTACGACTTTCACTGTAACACTACTCCTCTCACTGTAACACTACTACTCTCATTGTAACACTACTAATTTCACTGTAACACTCTACTACTTTCACTGTAACACTACTCCTCTCACTGTAATATTACGACTCTCACTGTAATACTACGACTTTCACTGTAACACTACTCCTCTCACTGTAACACTACTACTCTCATTGTAACACTACTAATTTCACTGTAACACTCTACTACTCTCACTGTAACACTAATACTCTCATTGTAACACTACTACTCTCACTGTAACACTATTACTCTCACTGTAACACTCTACTACTCTCACTCTAACACTACTACTCTCACTGTAACACTACTACTCTCACTGTAAAACTATTACTCTCACTGTAACACTGCTACTCTCATTATAATTCTATATGCCTCTCTCACTATAACACTATATGCCTCTATCACCATAACACTATATGCCTCTATCACCATAACACTACATGTCTCTCACTATAACACTACAAGTCTCTATCAGTCTATCAGTATATCACTCTTGCTGTATCACTGTTATTCCTACATTATCTGATAAACTGTATTACTGTATCACCATGACACTGTAGAACTGAAGCATCATATATTTAGTCACTATCAGTATACTACTTCATCACTATATTTCGTCTTGCTGTATCACCATTGTTTTCATTTTATCAGTATCGTGTGTTTGCGTCATTTCATCAATCATTGCATTATTTTATCACTGCATCATCTTCAACATTATCATTATATCACTATCATCATCATTATACGCCATTACTATTATTGTATCATTATGTCACTTCAGCGTCACAATATACCTGCATTATAAAATCACTGCATCATTATAATCATCATCATATCAGTGCGAGAAATATGACGCCAAATACACGCCTACCCAACAACGGCACGGGGCTACTAGCTAGTGCCAGTGCCACACACAGCTGGGAGTGCCACCACCACCACCACAGCCTCGGGTGCCAGACGAGAACCACCGCGTCCTTGGCTCGCTCCACCCACACTGCCACTAGGAATGGGAATGGAGCGATGCTGGAATCGGGGAATTTGGCTTTGATCCCGTGTGAGTGGTCGTGGCGGTAGTAGCGGTAGGGGTGGTGGTGGTGGTGTTGGTTGGTAGTTGTGGTGATTTGATGGTTGATGTTATGGTGGTGATTGTAATGGTGTTGGTAATGTGGTAAAATGGTATTGGTGATGGTTATGTAATTAATGATAATGGTTGTGATGGTGTTGGTTGAAGTGGTCGTGGTGGTGGTTGTGACTGTTGAGTTAAGGGGGAAGGGAGTGAGAGATGATGCGAGTTTTAGAGAAAAAAGTACTGAACTGAGAAGGGCAAAAAAAGTTATGAATCTTCTTATTCTTCTTATTCTTATCCTTCTTCTTATTATTATTATTATTATTATTATTATTATTATTATTAGTAGTAGTAGTAGTAGTAGTAGTAGTAGTAGTAGTAGTAGTAGTAGTATCAGTGCCATAAAGCTCCAGAAGAGAGACAGCAGACCGTCGTCAGTTACGGAAAATGTCGTAAAAGACAAACTTCACCCAGTGTGTATTGGGAGGCCCTTGAAGTGTCCTCGTCTCCCCACGATTCCTTCTTGACCTAATTCTCTCTCTCTCTCTCTCTCTTCTATTTCTTTCTCGTTGTTTCGCCTTCCTTCTCTCTTACTCTCTAACTTCCTCTTTGTATTGTTAAATTCGTTTTTTATCACGTCCATTTGTTTGTGTACCTTTCTTTCCGCTTGTCTCTCTTCTCACTCACTGTTTCTTCTGCACGGACAAATTTCGCATATTTGTATTTGAATTAACAAAATATCTTCATGTATCTATACTGTATATTGAACTTTATTGTACATTACACTAGCTGGTGTATCCGTCGTTGTTCTGTTTCTTTTTTTCTTTTATTTTATTTTACGAACCCCATAGGATTGAAGAAACATCTCTCAACCTGGCCTTGGCCAACTCAAGTGCATATTAAAAAAAACAACTATACCAAATGTCAGCCCTCTACCTTAAAAACCATGGCCGTGTACAAGAAACATACAGAAAAATAGATGTATATTTAATGATGAGGTTCCACCTTTGGGAGCGGGGACCAGCACTGGGACCGAGCCCCCAAGATCCCACCATCGTTACACTTTCCGGGGAGCTACGACACATGACGCAGCCTAGTGACTCTCAAAGGCTTAGACATCGACTTTTTCCCCAAAGTGAAAATGTAAGATTAAACTTAATTGGTTGGCTTAAGTTAACACAAAAACAACGTCCAAATGATTTTGTCTGGTATTTAAGTAAACTTAGTCTGACTATTAAAGAAAAGATGTTGAGATTCCGATACGATAACTTATGTTTCTCTATTTGTTTTATTTGCCTATTTTGTTTTTGTTTTATGGATCATATTATGAATTATTTGATTTATATTAGGATTTATAAATAATTGGGTTGGGTAGCAAGATGATTATTGCTCTATGTAAGTGATGGTAGGGGTAGGATGTTCCAGCGGCTAGCAGATCGGTAGGCGATGATAACGGTTAGGGAAATGTTTATCGTACATAGCTCCCCCCCCCGCCCTCTCCTCCATGACCAACTCTCCTAAACTCTGGACACTTCTAGGGTGTACAGTACAGTAATTGCACCTCCTTGCACAATTTTAGCTTTCTACGAAACTGTAGCCATGAATAGAGAGAACAGACAAATAAATAACCAGACATTGTGCTTTAATGAGATTATCTTCTCTCAGGTACGGTCTTACAAAGACTCACAAACCAAATAACCCAGCAAGACCATTTTTAGCTCAGTTGGGACATTCACTTGTGAGATGTCTAAATGTTTAGAGGATTTACCTGTAGTTGGCAACATATAAAATTTTAGCATTAAGAATAATGGCTTAGGTTTAGTTAAGAAACTTAATAACCCACACATTATGATTTTAAACTGGTTAGTTTTGATGTAACATCGCTCTTTACAGTGATTTAAATTATATATATATATATATATATATATATATATATATATATATATATATATGTATACAGGTTTGGGAGATTCAAGCGTGTGTGTGTGTGCGTGTGTGCGCGCGCTGACTTCCTCGCCTCAGTGATATTACCCTTTCACATAATTTCTTGAAATTTACCAACTGACTGACTGACTGACTGATTTGCTGACTCACTCAATTTCTCACTGACTCATTACCGTATTGTTTGACTGACTCACACACAAAGATCACAAATTCTAAAATTTTTGACAGAAAACACAATACACCTCTTGCCGTGCTTCGTATCTGGGTCAAGTACAAGACTTGAGAGAGGCATCGTCATTAGATCGGAAGTTAAGTAGTGTCAAGGTCTTGATTCTCAGCGCCGTGTAATTAATTTTTTCTTCTAATTGGGGATGAGACAACGCATCCGGTGGAACTTCAGTGAAATTTTAGTCTCCAGTTTCGTTGTTGTGCTTCTGCCATTGTTCTGCGTAAGTTTGATTAATTAACACGTACCCGGTTAGGAGATCAATTTTAACCCACTGGTCTCTGAGATATATGTGCCTGAGTAGCAATGTCTCAAGTACCAAGCGGCTTTGAGAGGCACAGTCAGCGGGCTTCATATGATGTGGGTTTCTCATGACGTTAACTCCATAATGTGTGGGCTTCACTTGTGCGGGCTTTACATGATAATTATAGGCTTCATGAAACATCAGTTTTCATGGCCTGGACTTTACAAAACGTGATGATGTCACATGAAGTGCTCAGAAAGTAACTTGTCGACCACAAGGAAATAGTGATGGCATTTATATGTAATCTCTCTCTCTCTCTCTCTCTCTCTCATACATACATACATACAACAAGGCCGACAATACCAACATCTTTAACTGTCAACGTTTCAGTGAATACAGTCAACATCCTCAGAATAATATACATTAATTAAGTCGCAATAGAAGTTAATCATAAAAACATGAAAATTATTTATTACTTAAGTAGCGATAATAAATTTGTTCATAAAATTTACAAAAAAATACCGCATAGGCTACAGAAAGTAAAATTAAACGGAGGGGCTAAATATAACACTGAGAGCCGCTGATAATATTAAAAAATAAACGCAATATTATATAACTTCAAGTCATAAAACTAACCTAAAACGTGATTAAAAATGTAATAGTCAAATAATTCACAATAAAAAAATGGGTTATTGAAAGATATACAACTACACTGTAACACTGTCAATAGCTACTACAAAACTACACTTTTCCAGCATTACACTGTCATATGAACACAGCACTATTGCAGTGTCCAAGTCTACACTACAGTTGTGATGTTGCACTCTATACACTACATTACTACACTGTCATACATACACTACACTGTTACTAGCTACACTACAGCATTACATTGTTACACTATTAATATCAACATTAAATCAGTACACCGTTAAGTCACTCACTACCTGCGCTACATCACTACAAAATTAGTCACTATCAACACTACACTCACTATCCCCAGGTTCGATCCTCGGGCAGAGTAAAACTATGGACAGGTTCCTTTACGCCATTGGCCTCTGTCTACCCAGCAGTAATGGAAACCTGGATGTTAATCGATTTACAGAAAGTATTCCACAGTTTGTGAAATGGGAATTGCCCGGTCGCCATTGGCTATTTCTTGATACCAACTCGTTCATTTCGTTAACTTAGTGTGTGTGTGTGTGTGTGTGTGTGTGTAGAAGCTCAATGGTTGAAATGCGTCTCTATTACACGTAAAATTGGGTCTAATGCTTGGAAAATCTTAATTTGCATATAAATACCCGACAGGAATATTTGTGACCAAATCAGAACCCTGCTTTGAATATAAAGGGCTAATGGAGTTAGTTTAACAAATTTATTGGCAGAGCTTGTAGTACAGTTTGCCTATTCTGAGTAATTCAGTCAGGTCTTGACACTGAGGGTGGTATCACTTCTCACTGCCACGCAGGACAAAGGTTCATACAATGGAAACCCCAAGACAAATTAGAATGAGCTAATAGGAAGTCCAGATTATAAATAATGCGATCCAATAGAGAGGGTCGAAGCCAAATATAAGAAACCAGTAAGAAAACTCAACCAATATATGAGGAACCAATAGGGAGGCGTAGAGGGGAGGCCTAGAGAGACTTATGGGAAGGTTCATGTGGACATAAAGGGAACGCCGATCCGTTTATCTTCTGGTGCCGACAAGCTGAGTGGAGGACGCTGTTAACGGCTCCAGATGACTCTCATTATATGTGTGTGTGTGTGTGGCTCGGCTGTGTGTCGCCTGCCCCTCCCCCTTCGCTCTCTCTCTCTCTCGTTATGCTGTCTCATTTGCACCGTCCTTCCCCCACCACCACTTCGTCTAGCGAGGGAAACACTTATTACACTCCTGGGCAAGATTATCATAATATCGTTCATTAATTGTCGTGTCTCGTACAGTGAGACACGAGAACTCACATAATTACAATGGAGTCTCAGTGCAATTTAGTGCTAATTAGATCTTCAACTTCATGCCTCAGGATGAAGGAAAAATTTAATGTAAAGAACTCTAAGAATCCAGCCAAGTTTTCTCTTTTTCGTAGTGTAGTCAGCGAGTGTGGCGTCAGGCAGGTTAGGTGTGGCGCCAGACAGGGCAGTGTGGGTGTGGCTATTGCTCTCCCCCTCCTCTACTCTCCCACACTTCAAAAGCATAAGGAAAAAAAACATAGATTATTATATGACACCGGAAACGATTTTGTTATGGTTTACGCTTTTGGTGTAGCATACGTATATCATCATCATCATCATCATCATCATCACCATCATCATTAGGCTACATGAGTCCCCCACCCCCCTCCCGTAGTTCACCGTCATAGTTTACTGCCTTGAGCCTTCGAAGCTTGTTAAATCTCCTCTATATTTCCTGAAATCATCTACCCATCTGCTATTTGATCTTTTTCTGGATATTTTGTTACATCTTGAGATTGAGATGAATATCCCATTAGTCCACTGATGATCTGTCCACATAAATTTTCTTAGAACCAATAAACTGTTTCCCGCACTTTGGTGGAGAATCTCGCTCAATTTATATATTTTCCTGTCAGATTATGTTATGCCAAGCAGATATCTTCCCTTGCTTCTGTGATTCGCTTGGAGTTTTTATTTTATTTTTATTTTTACATTCACTTCTCTCAACTCAGACATCATAAATCATCGAAGTAACTATTTTGCTTAGTTTTAGACAAAAAGATATATTACTCTTACACTGTACAATATAAATGACCCCCGTTTACAAATGAGTTTAGTATCCATCTTCGTAATTAGGGAAAATATGGGGTTAAAACCCTAAAAATAACACTAATCATACCTTTGACAACCTGACCTAAGCTTTCCTAACCAACAAAAAATCCTAATACTACAAAACCGGTGAAGGTGCATGTACCGACAACAAGTGATTCTTTTTGTGTACGTTTTCGGTGTTTTCGTCGCGAGGAAACAATGACATGAATGAATACTTTTAGATGAAAATTTTGAGCATGCGTAATGGTAATTCTCTCAAGACAAAAAGTACTGTCCTCTAATTAGTGAAAGCTGATCATGTAATGCTAACATGAAAGGGATTTGAATATAGCGAAAGTATTCTTAGTGAACTTAAAATCCGCCAATAGAGTTGCATCCATTCCTCATCTTGTCTGTATCACGTCCAAAAGAAGAAACCGTCTTGTTTAGCAAACCACGTTCACAGAATCACTGTACGCTCGTCCATCGGTTAAATAAGATAATATTTTTGTAAAATATGTAATAATTTAGGTTAGGAAAGGTTAGGTCATGTTCTCAAATATTTGATTGGTGTTTTTGTAGTGTTCAAACCCTGCCCAACTGATAAGTAACTACTTACGTTGTTAAGGGGAAAGAAATCACATTTTCGTAAATAAACATCAACGACGAAAATGGAGGTAATTTTCTTTCGAATCGGCCATTATGGTCACTAACGAATCTTTACCCGAGTCGGTGTTCTAGAGTATTACGAAGCGGCAAACTTTAACTAAAAATGAAAGTAATTGTATTATTTTTTTGGGGGGGGGGGCGGATGGGAGGGGTGAGGAGCAGAGCTTTTCTTAATGTTACCCATAAAACTTTCGAATTTTTTAATAAGACTCTCTAAAGAAAATGTAATATTTAATGACTAACTTTTGTATTTTTAAATATATAACTTCCACTTATCAACTTACCGCACTGCCCACTCAAGAGGATGGTCTGTTGAATGTTACTTTGTTATGACTTTTGTTGTCCAATATTAAAACAGGAGGAAGGCTGAGGACGTGTATACAGGACTGCCCTGCAGCTAATTCAAGAAGGCTACTTGACATGAAATGATAGTCAGACAGTAGAAACCCTAAAGCCTTGATGATTACCTTGGATCAGCGTTCACACAAACGACCGTCGGGCGGTGGATATGCCAGTAACAGGATTAGTGAATTTAGTGGTGTTCAAAGCACACACATACACACACACACACACACACACACACACATACACAGATTTAAAACTTATCGAACCCTCAACCCCTGAAACCGAAGCCCAATACGCCTATACCTAAGAAGGAACAGTCATAACATTTCAAAATAATGTTTCATACTGTTTTAATACTTTACACATTTATTAGAACTTTATTCCGTTCCACATAAAATGTGCACATACTCACTGGATTGATTGAGATATGATTATAAATTAGAGAAATGCTTGTGTTCTTTGATATATGGCCAAGAATATTCTTACTTATAATTTGATTACATTTTAGGAAAAAAAAATAGGTTTCATTACTTTTAAATATATGACTCTTATATCCTATGTAAAGGGCTCGGGGTGTGGGGTGTTCACTAGTGGGTTTCACATAGACACACTGGTAAGAGACTCCGGATACTGGCAGTAAGAGGATCAGAATGTCCTCCAGGATGATGGTTGACGCCCTCGTGATCCTCTTCTGTTTCAACACGGAAATAACACTAATTCTTGCAAGAGGTTGAGGGCAGAGATGTTTGTGTTTTCTCCAGATTTCTCATAAGGTTAGTTGATGCTGTATATCATATGCAGACACCGATATAGATCATGAAACTTTGAAGAAAAGTGTGCCGGTCATGATGAACGGTGTATAAGGACAAGGGAGAAGAAACAATCGGGTTTAAAGTAAATTCCCGCAGCTTAAACAAAGACGCTTCACCAAACTGGAACTTCCGTAACAAACTTGAATTTTGTCATCTCTGGAATTTAAAGCATGTCTCTCCAGATAAACTGTGTACCAGCAACGCCAGATAGTTTTTATATCCAAAGTATAGCGTGCTACATGTGTTCATTAGTTTGTAACGTGAAGAGCATCGTGTTTGCAAGGTTCACCAGACTGTACTTTTCATTTTTATTAGGAAGTGTTGTCCATCTGTAGAATGATTACTCCAGTTTAGCCATTATGTTCATGCTGGCCTCTAGTGAAATTGAATCGTCATCAAGGTAATTTGAATTGTAAATGCAAACAATTATCATGTTACTACTAACCCTCTCACTTGGCTGAGCATCCTTTAAATGGTTTCTGCTCTTGCTTGTGAAAAGTTATGGTTGGTAATAGTTTTCTTTCACCTTTGTACTGGGGATTAATGTTTTTGCAATTTGTTATTGTTGAAGGAAAGTTGTGTGTTACCTTCCAATTAGTATGTATTAGGTGTTGGCTATTTGAATATTCATATTTTATAATATGTCATTATAAAAGAAATTGAGGTTATTTTTTGGGTGGAGGACAACTCTTACCAGGCATTCTTTAGTTTACATTTGGCAAGGCCAGGAGTACCGGGTACTGTTACATTGTACAATATATATATATATATATATAATGTATAGAGTATTGGTTAATATTGACGACTGACCCACAGATGAGTTATTTGTTTTACTGTTTACTTTCTTACTTTATTTTAATCAGTGAATTCTGATATGATAATTATTTCTTGTGCAAATGCTTTGTTTGGTAGATAATTAGGCACCTAGGTGCACAATACTCTGTCTTCTCTGTGGTAATGCGGCGTTGACGTCTCATTCCATGACGTAAACAGTCAATCATATTGACGTATTTCAAAACACTCCGCTGCCCAGGCTTGATCAAGGTATCACTTCTGATGCTTAGTGTATGCTTAAGAACCATTCTGTATGGACGGCTACTCTCACACCCACAAAAAACATGGTGAACAGATGATTTGACACCTGTTAAATACTAGATTACCATGATAACTTGTATGGTAGATTAGGTAGTTTAGTTTGGTTCATTTTATGATAGATAATTATATAATGTAGTAGTGTCCAATATACAGTACAGACCTATGTAAAGAATCCAAGGTAAAATTTAAGGACAGTGGTATGGTTTAACCAGCTAAACTAACAAAAAATATATTTAGAAGAAAACTTATTTTTTATCATAAGTATAAAGTAACTTCAGTGGAGAAATAAAAATTTTTGTTTTCAGGTTTTGTCCCTAGTTTTTCTCATAAACAAAGATGCTCCAGCCTACATGAGGAGGACATGGCCATCTTTGTTTACATGACCAGGGGAGAGTCCAAATATTTCATAGACATTATTAATAATTCTATTCTGTATCATTCTCACCAGAAACAACAGAAGATGCAACTTTAAAAAATATTGGTATAGAAGATGATCATCATCAACTTTATAAGGCCATTTGCATCGTTTGCATGGGTCAGCTGTGATTACCTGAAGGCAACTGTTAGGTAAAACCAGAACAGGATGTGCTGATTACTACTTGCTGATATGGCAGGATTTGGTTTCCTCCTCAGATTTGTCTATCTCTTCAGCTTCCTTTTCCTTTCTTAAGTGAGTAGATAGGTGGAGACGTGATCCTGTGTTCTTACCCTCAGCTTTATGATTTGCATATTTTTTTTTTTTTTTAGGTTCCTTGGATTTTAATTTAGTTGGAATTCTTTTCTTGTGAATTTCGTCAGTTTTAGTGTTGGTACAGTACAGTACAGTATAGTACAGTACTCTGTATTGTTTTACCAACTGGTACAGGGGAGTATAGTTGCACAGCACTTGAAGCTTCTTTCCATCTTTATCTTATATCTTGAGTGGCTTTTTTGTTCACAGGCTTGAGATATAAATGAGAAATTAATCCTCAAATCCAGTTTTATAACCAAGCTTCCCATTTTCCTCAATGGGGTCTTCATGTGTCGGCAAACAAAAAATGTTAGCCTGCCTTTCCACTTCATAACTGAGCCTGAATAGAAAAGAGAAGCCATGATTGTACAGTATATGAGTGTACTGTATATTAGTGCTTGACTTAAGGGCAACTGCATCCTTTAGCTCCCTCTTTTTAACCGTTTCATGCTGATCACTTGAAATTTTTTCAGGATTGTCAAAAAGTCAATGATTATTTGATGATTCTATATCACTTCTGGCAGTGCCAAACCACATGCTATTTAGAAAAAATCCTGAAACTTGTCTTATGATTGTTGCTAACGATTTACCTCAGGGTGAGAATCATCATCTGGTATTCTCTATTGTGCTAGCTTATTTAATTTGTATTCTTATATTAGAGTACTTTTGAGTGTAATATCTTTGTTATTTCTAATTGCTTATCATATTAAGGTTGATCTTGTCTATTTTGTCACCCATTTATTTGTTTTTGAAAATATATTTGATTTGAGAGAACACAAATGAGTGAAGTGATAAGTATGATTATCTTCAGCAAAATTCTGATGGACAAGAATTACTCACTTATAGTACTCTGATGTGTGACTACTATGCAGGTTGGACCTCTCTAATCCGGGAAGCTTGGGACCAGACCGGTTCCGGATTAGCGAAAATTCCGAACCATCGAAACTGAGGTTAAAAAAGGCAAAATAATGTATAAAATGTACTATAATTGGTACCAATACATCTTACATTAGCAAAAATCTAGCCCAAGCTTACTGGACCTCTTTATGACAAAGTGTTAGTGCTATGGCACAAGTTTACTGTACTGTACTGGAACACAGAAATAAGTTGATTAGCAGAATAAGTGGCAGTCTTGGAAACTAACGACAGCCAGATTCAAACACCGTCCCGAACCATCAATGCTGCCAGACTATCGGCTCCTGAATTAGCGGGGTCCAACCTGTACTTTTAGTCTCAGACTTACCAGGATGGCTAGGGATCCATACAGTCATGTCTAATTAATAAAAAAATGGGTAGAAAAAGTCAAAATACTGTATAACAATTGCTGAAAATGTCTTGATTGGCATAACACAACAGTTGCAGTAATTGTCTTTAACCCTTTTTAACCCTTTAGGGTTATTGTGACTAATTTTTGGGTTAGATTCAGCTGCCAATGGATATGGTTTCCTTGGTTTGGCTGGCATCTTCACAAGTTGCAGTATTTTAATCAAACATGCACAGTCTCTCCTCGACTTACGACTGGGTTCCGTCCCGACAACCAGGTCGTAAGTCAAAAAGGTGAAATGATACTTAGAAATTCTAAAATGGGTGTCTCTTTTTCTTCTCACCACCACGAGAACTCTCACTTTTACGCTTGCCAGCCATTTTAAAGGAATTACAAAAAAAAAATTGTCGGTACACAGCGCGATCACTAACGTCGGGACTCGAAAATACGTAATGTGAAAAATATTTTATACAACCATGGCCTTCGTATGTCCGGGTTGTCGTAAGTCGAATATGTCATAAGTTGAGGTGAGACTGTATACAGGGTATATAATTGGGATTTCAGTTTAAATTCTGATTTCTAAAAAAAAGTTTGCTAGGATTGCTTTTCTGCAATGGGATTGGTACAGTTGACATAATATCTTGTTTCCTTCCGTCATGCATTTGGAAAAATATATTTGGTTCCATCTTCATAATTATCTAATTCTACAGTACAGTATGTGAATATTATAGACTTGCTTTATAAACCTTTTTCATGAGAAAAATATACCTACAGTATATACTCTTTATGTAGAGCCCCCCCAAAAAGTATCGTTAGATTTTCCGTCGCTACAATTTAAAACACTAGACGAAGTGCTTTGATATGATCCCCAGTGGATCATCATAAGGGTATGCCTGTTTGCCATATCAGTAACTGTTAGAGATGGGGGTAAGATTGGAGGAGGTAGTCGGCCTTGTATGGCATACAGTACTAGATATTTTAATAAAAAAAATCGATTGAGTTATATTAATGTAGGTACTGTATTGTGCTGAGTAGAAGCAAGGCATATGTAAACAAGCCACTGACTGATGATTACAATAGCACTGAAATATACGTTAAATGGAAGTGTTTTGGAACATTATAAATGAGGCTGAGACAGACCTCAAAATGAACATTTCATCATTATGTCGTTGTAGTAACGGAGTTTCATTCATATTGATTTTCACAATATGCCTACTCATGTTGTTCATGGTATGTCTGATTTATGAAGAATGACTAAGCAAATTGAACTTGATATTAGATTGAACAGCTACAGCAATATACAATATATTGGTCTACATAGGATCTGCATTGGTTTAATTAACACCAAAATAAGGTTTCAAATCAAGAGACTTGCAGGCAACACCCCCGTTCACCTATCGTAAGACATTTGTGGTTGTAAGTTTCAATGTGGCACCAATTGTTCATGGCGCCTAACCTATCGTGATACTGTGGGTTCACTCAATCCAGTTCACCGTGCTCTCTCAGCGTTACGTATACCCTCGTTGCTAAGGCCAATAATAGCACCTTTCACATCTTGCGATGTCCCCCAGATAATTCCTCATTCCATTCAATGTAAGATGCTTTTGATGTTGGGCGTGGTGTCCATTTATGACATCCACTCCGATTCATGTAATATTTGATCTGAAGCCTCGGAGGATTCACAGCGTTCGAAAACTTGTATATCATTCATGCTCAAAGGTCACGGATGCAAAACTACCAAATGTTCAGAAACAGGTTGTGTAACATTGCTCGGAAAGCCTCGAACCGCATCGACCCTATGGCTAACGATACTTTTTTGGGGGACTTTACTTCATGCCTACCTATAGTAATGGTCTGACCACCAACCTATTATCACAATACTGTACATTACTGTATTGATTTTCTACTGACCGAAAGTTACTGTTGTATAAGATGTAAATGTCAAAAGTTTTTTAACAGGATGATGCAATATGGCTCTTAAAAACTATTTGGTTGGTAGACTTTAATTATCATATTTTATTTTATTCAGGGCAGCAGAGAGAGCATAGTGTGCCATGACCTAGCCATGACCTCACAGCATCATGATATCAAGTCCTCCCAGCAGCACGCCACTCCCAATGACAACACATTCTTCACCTCCCATCGCAACACCCTTGCACACACCCAAGGTCAGTTGTCAAAGTTCTCCCCATATGTAATGGTTATTGCATTGTTTTTCATAAAAAAATATTAGGTATGAATTTTAATGAATATTTTTTATGACCTCTGGACTTTCAATAAGTGATCTACAGTATTCTAAACTCTCTTACTCTTCTGTCTGGGCCTGCCTTCTACCAGACGACTTATCATGTTTAGTGGCAGGATATGCTTCCCAGGTGGAAAAAACACACAATGATTTGGCTGCAAGTAACACCTCACTCAGTTAAGATTCATTCAATCCCATTTGGTCTAGTGGTTGATTCTGGGTTCATTGCAGTTTCAAATAAGGGATTGACACTTTTTCAGTTTACTCATGATTTAAACTCTTCTTGGACTTAAAGGAAGTTCATATGCCAGTCCCCACAACACTAATCCAGTCAGTCAGATGCTTTGGTTGCCATTTTCTTCAAATGGATACTGTAAAAGGAGATGTGTTAAGGTTACCCATTATTACATTACATTGAATGTTTTCTTTGAGTTTAGTGCATGCCACACATTTTTTTGACACTTAGTGTTTAGAAGTTAGTGAAGGGTGTTCAGTTACCCAGTTGTCTGCTAAATTTTACCTCATACAGTACTGTTGTTGTCTTGTATTGATTGGAGGGGATACTTACTGCCAAATTCCTTATCCATGCTGTTCATGGTGTTTCTAAGTGGATGAATTGGTGGTGGTGGTGGCATGGCAGCTGTTTTGTAGTGTTACATGGCGACACATACGTGCTGAGAATTAAATATTCATTCTTTGGACACCCATTCATATTAGTGGTACATTACTGAAGATGACTTTTATATGTACTATATACACTATTGCTTTACAGGCACTTTGTATGGCCAGAGCTTTAGTGGAAGTGAGACAGATGTGAGCACTTCAACAGAAAATCTGAGTCCAGAGGAACGCTACGCTTTAGAGCACACTCAACGGCAAGAGCCTCAGGGCCAAGAGAATGTTGGGAACATTGCTAACACCATGGCTAATTTACATCTCTCTAGGGCATCACCAGTAGTGACAAGTGGGGCTTCCAATGTGTCCACTGTGAGATCTAATGAGTAAGTCACTGGTGTCCTATTTAATATATTTATTGACTTTTTTACTTTTTTTAAGTGTGTGATCTCTTACATTTATAATGCACTGTTCTGCAGGTTGTCAGTATATACAGTATTCCCTTAAAGCTTACTGTTTTAAAGCTTGTGTCCCTCGCAAACTCACAGATTGCCATGGAAATTATATTAATTAAATCTGAGGCTGTGTGACAGGGATCAAGAGGAGTCAACACTAGAGGACAGAACAGAGCACCATATTTCCCAGGTCATAAGATGCACCCTATAATTAGCAAAGTATATTTTGGAAAAATAATTATTGCAGATTTAATAGCCTACAGTACTGGCAAAGCCAAATCACTGGCTATATGCTATCATGTTTCTCACTACCACAGCTCACTATCACTTTACGGACCTATTATCAAACATTTGTTGGTATTATTGATAAAATTTACCTAATTTAATACAAAAGGATATACTTTTACTTTTAGGTACCTACTGTATACACATTACAAATACTTATCGGTACCGGGCATGTTCACTAGGAACTGTCCAGTACAGGGATTGTTACATCCTGTGCACCAGATCAGCTGAGGTTTCAGAGGTATTATCTTTATATTGTCACCACCACAACTAACTATCACTGTGTCGACCTAGTGTCCATACAGTGTTATTTAATGTTTATGTATATTTATTTATGTTATTTCATATTTATTATATTGTCTTATGCATACATATTATTGTTATACATGTGCATATAGCTATTTATATATTGATTTTGCACACTCCTGGGACTGGCATGAAAAACTCGCAGATTTTGCTTTCTCACGGTCCATTTTACCTAACCTCACCGAGCTTTAAGGGAATATTTTACAGCAGCAAATGGATACAAGTTGGATGGGATATAGGGGTCCATATTATGATGATGCTGTGAAGTCAAAACTTAAGAGTTCTCTTTTGAAGTGACATTTCTGGGATTCTGTGTCTTGCCAGTTTAGAACACTAAACACACGCTCAGGAATAATAGGCTCCTTAACCCACACCAGAAGGCCTGGCCTCACTTGAGTCTTGCACTAATATCGGGCAGATATTGCACAGCACTTCTCACATGCATGGAACACGAATAACGTCAATGTTACGCGGAAAAGTTATAAAAAATAGCAGTAGAAAGTACGAACCTCCTTATGCTATGCAACGCGCCAAAACTAACAAGGAGGCAGCATCTGGGTGCGCGGATTGGCTGAGGAGCTGTGATGTACCAAGGGGAAATCCATTGTGATTGGCTGCCTCAGGGGGTATGGTCCGAGGGAGGTGCGCTGTCATTGGCTCGCGCTCTGAACGTTATGTTGCCGCCACCTTTGACTGAGCACACAGCCAGATACATAGCTCCAGGCCAAGGCAAAATCACACTTTATATTTGAAGGACTTTCTACCATATTTCTATTCTAGCTAGAGGGTTACATTGAACGCCAACATGTAGAGGAAGGGTGAATATAGTGATATCCATTAAAAAACGCATTTTGGCCGAGGTGTCACTTCACCCCCTTCTAATGCTGAGCACCTCACTTCATGTATTGGTATTTGGAGTTTTTGATGTTACGATGAGTACATGATATATTATTTTCCAGGTGCAATGCATCCATAAGTAGCAGCACCAACACCCTGATAATCCACAACTCTGTGAGTGATGATCTCTTACATCATAGGTGGACTCCTGGTGGCTACTCTACTCCCATGGCTGCCAGAAAATCAATGTAAGTTTGGAACTCCCTTTTGTGTATCCTTTCTATGATTTTTATTTATTGTTTAATTTACTGCACAGTAATCTCCCTGTTAGCCTGAATCCTCAGTCCTTGGAAATCTGCAAAAGCCGGCATTGAAATCAGTCCGGAATTTTTTGGGAAAAATTCACTCAATTTTGGGTCTGTGAACTAATGATTGTATCTTGTATTCATAGCTTTCAGGGATGTTTCTTCGTAAAGAAAATGGAATGAGATATATAGTGAGATGTCATGTATTATATTGACCCTTCATATTGTTTATAATTTAATGATTTTAATTAAGAGGTAAAAAAGAATAATTATAGATTTGAAAACATCCTGTATTTTCAGGTCTGCAAGCCTCCTTGATGGTCAAGAAGGAGGACCTCCCCTATACAACCCTCAAATACACCATCTCAACATGGAATCTCTCAAACTCAACTCTCCTCTTCTTAATTCTTCTGTTCTCACCTCATCTGCACTAGACTCCTCATCCATTAATACCAATCTACTCAGTACTTCATTAAATTCTTCTATCTTGGGCTCGTCTGTGCTAACCCAAAAAACATCTGTTCCTTCATACCTTAGCCAAAGCAGTATTCCTCAGTCACCGAAATTGTCTTCCCGTATTGCTATGAAGTACCAAACTGCCACTGACTTACCAGATATCCCTTCCTCATACCTGGATCAATCTGAAGTGCTTAAGCATCTTCTCAAGTGTGAAGGTAAAGGAAGTGGATGTAGTGATCAGAGTGCTTCCAGTTCTAACAGTGGTATCAACTTGATGACTGAAAATACTGGCACAATGATGAGGGATTTGTCACGAGCTCCATTACTGAGTGATCTGGATGGCACTGTGAACTATGACTTACTGAACTTGCCACCTCCTCCAGCATACCCTATGTGGAGACTGAAAGAGTCTGAAAAGCAAGAGCAGCAAATGGATTTGGCAAAGCAAGGAATTGAAAAGTCACATTTATCAAGGTCACATCCAGACCTGACGAGACTAAATAATGCCAAAGAAGCCACTAGTCCCAAGGAATTGATAAATCAAAGGTAAAGTTATATTATATATTTTTTATTTCCTGTCTTCAGTGTTGTAAACCTTTTCCTCTTATCTTGCAGGATGGTTGGAACCAAGAGCAAACACAGACTCATCATTTGCTGTCATCCATTCACATACTGTAACATCTCCATAAACCACTCGAAGCCATGCTGTAATTGTGTTCACTGTTGCTTCCTGGATATCCATCCCTTACACTTCCAGTTTGCCTTTGTCTTATTCTTCTGTGTCCTTTAATCTATCCCCTTCTGCCCTACCATTTATCCCTGAAATATATTCTCTTTACCAATCCTTCACTTCCCATTCAATCCATATGCTCCTACCAGTCTTAACAAACCATGTCACACCTCTATCCAGTGCTTCTTTTTTTGCACATCTTATTCTCTGCATCTTTATCAGCATATATACTGCTCTCAACATTGTTTCTGTTTCCTCTATTTCCTCTAATTTGTATCTTCCACTTTTATCCAGAACACATACTTCTCTCCAATATAGTAATGTTTGTTCTTATATTCCTCTATAGAGTCAATTAATCAGTGTGCCATCCTCTTGACTGTGGGATGATGAGCTTGGCCCTCCACTTAAAATGTGTTCAGGTTTTCTTTTACAACCCTCTCAGATTTTTATGTCTGTGGTAATCCAGCTTTTAATTTCATTCAACCATCCTTGTCTCTGGGTATGTCTGTCCCTCCAACACCCAGTTTTATCCATTGCTATCTCAATCAGTATTCTCTCATTCCTAATGATATGGGTAAAGTATCTCTTTTTCCTAATCCTCTAAATTTCCTTTGGGTTTCCTCTTACTGGGAGCCTACATTTGGACTTCTGCGTTTGTTTTTCTATCAGTATAACATATCTAGGATTTTGCTGTAGCACCGCAATTTAAAGGCCTTTGACTTCCTAATGGTATCTGCTGAATGTGTTAACACTTCTGACCTATATAATAGTACTGACCATACACAGCATTTTAGTAGCTTAATCTAAAGTAAGACTAAAGATAATGTCTCTTTTGAACACATCTCTATGATAATTTAATTTGTATTTGCTTGAGCTATCCTTGTTTTAACTTATTTCACATCTTCCATCATATTGTAAGTTTCATCCCAAATATATAAATTTCTCCCATCTGTTTTAAGTACCTTCTTGTCTACCAACTTTTTTTTTTTATTTTAGGATTTATTTTTAGTATAAAAAAAACAGTTCCTTTGTCTTTACAACATTACCTCTAAAACCATTTTCTTCACTTATCCTGATTACTGTGCAGTAATCTGTTGACCTTTGTTTATAATACTCTTTCACTATTTGTGTCATGCAAATGTTTGGTATTACTTTACCATGAACTTTTATTCCTTCATCACTTCATCATAAATTGTATGAAATTGTTTTAATAGGTATAGTGTATAGTGTTGGAGATAGAGGTGTGGTGGCTGAGTGGATACAGTGTTCACCTCGTATTCAAAGGGTTGCTGATATGTTCCCAAGCACCCCTAGTCACCCACCAGTGAATGTGTATCTAACTAAAGTTAAGGAAAATAAAGCAATGCTTCCTTGTGTACAAAAAAAAGCTTTGTGCACAGTGTGCTGTTTCTGAAATGCCCAAAAACTGTGTATTTCAGCCAACGAGACCCACTTTCCCGTTTGGGAGAAAGCATGGCTTTGTCTACCTGCAGCCTTGTCTAACTCCCATTCTAATCCTAAACCAACTTGTGAGTTTCTTACTGATAACATTGCCAAGGTTATTATTCTGCTCACAACTACAGAGCAGGGTATTATTTAGTCCTATCTGTCTGTGTGTGTGTCCCCATAATAACTTGAAGATGAGTTTGTGGATTTGCCCCCAACTTGATCAACATGTGACAAAGTCCACATGATAAATTTTTGGTAGTGTTCACACCAAAATTAACCTAATTTTTGCATGTTAATAGTTTGCACAGTGATAACACACAAGGTTTTTTGGGAGTTAAAGAAAACAAAGACATGAGACTACTTTAACCATAACAGTGTCACTATTTTGACATTTACCCAGTACCATACCGTAGTAATGGTTTGTAGGCAGGGTTTGCATCTGTAATGCTTTTTTAGGATCCATTAAATACTGTGGATGCAAATTTACTCAAAATTCTTTAATCATTAAAGATATTTTCTTTAGTTCCCCTTCACTTTCTGAATCCATTTTGATATGCCAGTGATAAGTGATATAGTGTTTTATTTTTTCTTGCTTAGAATTACATTTATAAGAAAATTTTGCCTATATGGCTAATCAAAATACTAATTTGTATATACTGTACACTCTAATGCTCCTGGGTTCTTCGGTAATAGCACTGATATTGATTTTTTTTTCTTATTTTATTACTTGGAAGGTTTCCTTGTACCCTGTAGTAGTGTTGTATTTTTTAGTCAAACATTTAATCTATGCACAGTATTACCATTTTCTTGCTACTTCTCCACACTTTTTCTATAGCTCTTTAATTATTTATACCTGATACACTTTTTTTTTAGGCTCACCTTATTTGTGTCAATTTTTTTTATTTCCTTTATCGTTCTGTGCATTTCTCAACTGATATATGTGGCAATGTGGATATTAGTGACGACCTAAAAATGTCTGTGAAAATCCATTTTCTGTGGTAACAATATCTCTAGAGTCTGTTGAAGAGAATTAACAAAAGCACTAAAATGGTCAAAAGCTTCATGAATAATAGGGTATGTGAAGCACAGTCTTAAATATGATGTGTGGGAGAGAAGGAAGGGAGGTGTGCCTATGATGTAAGATCCATGTACGGTGCTGATTGGCCCAGCCGAGGCCCATCCAACATCAGAACCTCCAGTACTTGCCCAATAAACATCCCTTCAAAAACTTTACATCTAATTCTCCCAATATTGTTGATGACCTGGCATCTTGGGATATTCTCTTCTCCAGGCTCTGGAGATCTTACCTCAGAAAATGTATTTTCACACACGTGTCGAGGCCATCACTAATACTGTATTGGCATTTATTCATATCTCCTCTCATGATCTTTTACTTCTATGTATTACAGTAAACCCTTGTTATTCGCGGTTTCAGCTATTCGCGGTAAGCAGATGGTGGCTGGCTTCCAAGCCTTTCCCGCAGCACAACGAGTCATCCCGACGCGCCCGCAGCATCTTTTGTGTTGCGCTCAAAACTTTGGCGTTTCTGTGTGAAATAGCCCCTAAAAGACTGCCTAATGTCAGTGCTAGTGGAATGAAACATAAAAGGCAGAAGTCAGTTGAATTATTAGATAAGTTAAAGGAGGGGATGAGTGCTGCTGCAGCTGGTCGGTTGTTTGGTATAGGTGTACAGTAGTTAACTAAGGTAGAAGAAGTTGCTATTCGCGCCATTCCTTGGAACCTAACCCCCGCGAATAACAAGGGTTTATTGTACTTTTTATAAAATTTTCTTCAGTGTCTCTACACTCCTTTTAAATTTTCTTGGGCAGCTATTATTGGCCTTTGCATCAAACAAATTTTGTTGTCCTATCATCTTTAAAGTTTCATAATACAATAGTGTATGAAACAGTCAGGTTTTTTTTTTTCTGGTTACCCTTTTCGTATTAAAGATTTTTCCCACTCTTTATTATGGTAAAGACAGGAGTCCTAAACCATTTAATCTCCATTTTCTTATTTGGGGTAATTTAATGACTACAGTACCTTGTTATTGTTGAAAAACCTTGTTGGTATCAATTTGTGAGTATATTATTGTTTTAGGTATTACACTACAACTTGTAATTTTAAATTTATAATAGTTTAACTATAAATACTGCATATAGATTGGTTCGCTGCACCTTACGGAAGCTAGCAGTGGTTTTTAAGCTATACTGTAGTTATTCAGATATGGAAGGGAATGGACATTTGCTTTTGTTACTCACTAGTGCTCAACCACCCACAAGATCAGTACCTGGTAAAGAACAGAATATGCTAAAAAAAAATTCTCACCTGTTTACAACTGGCCTTAGGGGTGGCCTGGCAATAGTATGAAAGACTTGTGGCCACCAGAACTGACCACTGTTCTTAACTATACATTTCTAAAAAACATTCTCCTAATAACTTGCAAAACTATTTTTTGAGATGAATTTGGAGGGAATATCATACTGTGTTCATTAAGGGCACATCCTGAGTTATTACTCAATCCCACTTATTCCATCTTGATAATCCTTAGTTGATGCTTGATTATCATCTTAGAATCACTTTGAACTCCCCTTCCTCTTCTCCTTTAAATTAAAAATAATGGAATTATAAGAGAGGAGTTAAAAGGACAGTGAATCTTACCTCTTATCTGCTAGGGCAGGCTTGAATTACAGTTTGGAATGAATATATCAATGAATCATTAATAGCAATGGATAACGATAATTTTGCCATAAGATTAATATGGAAAGAATAAATATAACCAAATATGAATGTAGAACAGTTAATTGTCCGTAAGCTAGGTGGTGAGATTTTCTAGTGACATTCAGTGGGATAGCCAATTTATGCCTCATGTGCTTTATAGGAATGTATTCATGACATAATTAGAGACTGTAGCTAGATTATTTGATAGCCCTGTCTGGTTGTGGGAGAATTTTGATTACGAGTAAACTTAACTTAAACCAAACAAAAATTACTTACAGTACTAAATCAGACATTTTCTGCTTATTTGTGTGATTTTCTTCATTTTTTATAAAACACTCATCTAATTGTAAAGTAAACCTAAACCATAGGAAAATTAAGGGAAAAAGTGAGATGAAAGAAAAATAAAGGAGTAAATGAAGACATGAAATACTGTGCACCCTTGCCAAATGCACTTTTATGCGCCACAGTTTTGCTTATATGATTGTAAAAAATACGACACGTGTAATGAAAGTTTTTAGTATAAGTGGGGTTTGATTGGTGTCCAGTACTATATTGTAATATCATTGAGCACTGCACATGTAACTTGTCACCGGGTACCCATGTCAGGCAGGCATACCTATGCCAACACAGTATCAGTCTGCCTTGTGGAGTGGTATATGCTACGGATCAAAAGCAATAGGGGTATTAGTTTTTGCTTATTTTTCATTATTCTTGTTTTTTCCCAATTAATTACAATGAATTCGATGAAAGTTCTAATTTATAAGTAGCTACATATAATAGTGATGATACATGACTTTTTGGTTTGATTTATTACTTTCATTTTAAATTTACTTCATTGACATTTTTATTTAATTTCATTTTTTTTCTAAAACATATTTTTTTTAAATATATAATATCCATGAATATTTTCACCTTAACCCTATTTTCCTTAAAATATTAAAGTTGTCAATTGTGTTTGGCAAGAATCTGGTAACTGTTGTATCTACATACACCCCACAGGTTGGGCTAAGTGAGGAAGCAAGGACAAGTTCTGGGATGAGTTGCTGCATGTAGTATCGGAGCTTGGTGAGAGGGAATGAGCTGATTCAACTCCTCTCAGCTCAGTATAAAATGCTTCCTTTACATTCTGTTAATTCAATTTCCACACTCTCCTTCTTGGCACGACACTTTCTTCCTTTTCCTGCACCTTTTATGCAATGTATCACACACATGCAATCTTCCCAGGCTATCATCCTTGCATGCCTAATAAGCTTCCTTTCTGATTTTCTGACATGTATTTAGTCAATCTTGGTTTTTGTGCCACCTGATTCATGTGATCAGCCTACTATCCCTCTTCTTAAATAAGGCTTATGTTGATTATACAACTCCATGTGGAAGGCTTTTGTTGATTATACAACTCCATGTGGAAGGCTTTTGTTGATTATACACCTCCATGTGGAAGGCTTTTGTTGATTATACAACTCTATAATTTCGAAGGCTTTTGTTGATTATACAGTACAACTCCATTCATTTCTGACAGAAGATTTTTTTTTTTTTTTTTATGGTGGCATAGGATAGGTTTATATGATGGTGTTCATGGCTTGCCTAGAACAATAAGGAATTTTAGAATCAAATCAGGGTGTCACAAGTTACACAGGTTTTTATGGGATAGGTATATCTCCCTGTATGATCTGGATATTTTTGAGACAGTTAGATTTTACAACAAACTGGTGGTGATATGGGGGTACTGACGGTACAGTCCTGGTTTTTCACTGGACATTAATCACAAATTGCCTCCTCAATAAGTATTTGAATATGGCAGGATTGCCAACCTTGTATGATATCCATTTTGTCATGGTACCTATCAAAAGCTTTCACGACAAATGTGCACATTCCCCTGTAAGTAGGCTGTAAGATATGTAAATGGTTCATTGTTTCTCATCATCATCATTCCAGATATTATAAGTTGAGTGGATGTTGAATGTTTTAGTAAAATTCTTTGTTTCATGCATTATGGTGGCTGTTAAACTGTACCATTACGTATACTGTACTCTATGTTCTTCACGTACTATTTCCTTTAGAGAGGCTCCAGTTTTGCCGTATAAATATGAGGATATTTCCTGACTTCTTTCAAAATTGCCAGAAAATCATCAGATTTTTACACAATCTCAATAAAACTTACCCTATTTATGAAGAAAAGAAAAAGAGAATTGTCCATGTTGCTGAGTATAAACTGTCACCAGTGGAAATGATATACTATTCGGTCTTTGGTTCTGATGGGAAAATTTGCCAAATTGGCAACAGTTGTTATTCCCACCAGGCTGCCATAAACTTTGCTTTAGTTTGATAATACTGTATTGGTACTTCTTATTATAGATACACAGCATGCTGGACCCTCTCATTTTTTTACTATAGCGTATTTCTTCTTAGTATTTTTACTCCGCTTCACCTTGCTATAATAAATGTTGATACAACTTCACTTTACTAAGGAAAAGGAAAACTATGTTCTAATTAGTTAGAAAAATATAAAAGTGTGAACGGTGAAGGTGGTAGCATAGTGTAGATCTCTTTGTCTATCTTAACATTTACTGTTTAACCCTATCATATTAATTTTACTGTGTACAGTAATTATATTTAACAGGAATGAATTTCATGAATTGGGGATGCAATGTAGTGAACCTGGATATTTGGCCAAGCAATGATAAGTTTAAACATGAATTTCTGGTGGGGAACATGTTGATGTGGAAAGACCTGTGTGATGAGAAAAGCCTTCTGTTCATTTGTCATTTTTAGGTAATATTGCATTATGCAAATTCACATATTACTTTGTACTCACTGTTTAACAAGATTATCTGATTTATACAAAAAATGTCTGAGTAGCATAAACATGGTCCAACATCTGGGTTTCCAAACTACTGTATTCATGACTAATTTATCAGCATTTTATGATACTTATCCAGTTTTGCCTCTTTTGACAATTTCAAGTACAGCTATTGCTTTCTTTCCTTCTTTGTTATTCAATTACTGTATCACTCATTATAAATTCATTAACACTTCCCCTCCCAAATATTTGAATTATCACTTCCTTCTTTCAAACTAATGTATATCGTACTGTTTATCTTTCTTTTTCCCTTCTCTACCTGGTTTCCACATTGTCCTTCAAATTCATTCTATAACATTTTGTAAATTTTCTCTAGAATGCACCTTAGGGCAGTGTTACCTGTAAACAGAAGCTAACTCTTCATATTTGTGTTATGTACACAGATCCTACTTATCATACTTGCAGCCAAATCCATAATCTTTATTTCGTTCTCTCTTGTTATCGCATTCTTTAATATAGTGACTGTCTGTTTTTTGTCTCTTCACTGTGCACGGCTACAGTTTTGAGACAGGGAGCTGAAATTTTTCATGGAGAAGAGCATGCACCCAGAAGTGTCCTGAAAGTGAAATTTTAGGGGGTTGGTCCCAGTGATTGGCTCATCCCCAAAGGTGAAGGGACTCCATACGGTACTATAACATTTCCCTCGCTGTCAATACCTCCAACAGACCTGCCAGATGCAGGAATATCCCAGTGCAAGCAGCACTTACGTAATAAAAAAACACTCCTATCCAACCAATGATTTACAAACCCCATTATAAATTTGAAAACTTATAAGATAACCCAAACACCGTTAAAAAAAAAGATAAATACTCCTAAAAACAATTGAAAAATGAGAAACAAAAACGGAGTTATCGTAAAGGAAGCTGAACATGGACTTCAGTGCTACCTGGCTCACACTCAGACATGTTCAGTTAATACCTGACAAAATATTGTGGATGATTTTGTGTTTTCGCTTCAGTAAACCATTTAAGTACAATCTTACATCATCAGTTACAAAAAATATTTATTGTATAAACCTTTGAGATTCACTACACTGCATTACATGTTTTATCTCCCTTAGACGTATCACAAAGGTGGAATTTTCAGGACTTGGCCTCAGTGGTTGGCCCCCCACCCCTAAAGGTGGAACCCCACCTCATTAAAAACATATCTGCTTTTCTGTTACTGGTATGCATGGTCGTGGTTTTTAAGGTAGATGGCTAAAATTTGGTATGTGTGTGTAATTAGCCCAGAGAATGTTTACGGATGTCTATACGTATTGGGGGACAAACCCTCCACCTAAAAGTGGGCCCCACTCCTGTGCACAATCACAGTTTTTAACAAAGTGAGCTGAAATGTGGTACAGTTATTTTTTTCTTGTGCACTTAATTTTGGCCAACAATGGACATAGGTTATGAGTTACCCCTCATATTCTAGGGGGTGGAACTCCTGGGTGAACTGTGAAATGATGTTGGTGTTTTGTGGCTGTACCCATTCTGGTTAATATTACTTCATCAGAAACATACCCAAGCAATGTTGGGTTCCCCAGCTATACCCTTTCCACGTTAACCTGGCCCATAAGCCCCGCCTCTCGTCTTAGCTACAAATAGCTGATTGGTTCCCCTGAGTGTTTTTCCTCCCCCCGGACTGCGCGTATTTATATTGACCTTTCATGATAAATATTTAAAATTTTCTTGCATCATCTCTGAAGTGCTAATGCCTTGAAATCATTTGCATTGTTGATAGTCCAGATACTTAACATTAGTTTAGATAATAACAGGTCTGCTTGCCAGTAATTTTCTATGAACCAATCAGCTATTAGTAGAGAAGAGGGGCATGGCTTATGGGCCAGGTAAGCTTGGAATACTACAGTAATAAATATTGTAGTTTTATGTATAGCTATACTTTATCAATATATATTCCAAATATTGTTTATTATATTTATTAGTGTTATTTTTTATTGACAAATTCTTATTTGTTTTATCTTTTTCTTTGAGAGCAGAGTTGTATCTGGACAGATTGACTATGCAGATGGTCCCATGCAGGAAATGGCAGATATTTTAGCTCAGGAAAACAATGCTTTGAAAATGGAAGTGGATTTGTATCATAGGAAAGTTGCCAAACTTCAGCGGGTAAGTTTCAGATGTTGCTATTGTAGTAATTCTGTATCATGTGTACCACTTATAAATATTTTGTGTTGATAGACAGCTTCTTGTATATGCCGTTTTATTACATAAAGAGCATTGATGTAGATTCAGTTTAGTCATTATTAATTTACTGCATTTAACGATTTCAGTTTGAAATGGAAATCATCAAAGTACATGATGCCCATGAAGCTCTGGTAAGGTCATCTGAGCGCCGAGAACAACTAGAGCGGCTTGCACGTCACAAATTACATGCTGAGGTTAAGCGCCTCACTGAGTTAAATGCAGATCTGAAAGATCAGGTAGATGTTCTCTCAACTCAGATTGCTAACCGTCCTTTGCCAACGGATAGCAGTGATGCCCTTCGAAAAGAGCTAAATAAAAGGGATGTCTTCATTGCCCAACTGATATCACAGAGTAAGTATATGAGACTGTCAGTATTTGGATAGGAAGGATGCAGGTGTTCTTAAATTAATGCTTGCATGTGTATGTATAGGGAGGGGTGACAAGGTTTAATGAATATTGATTAGTACGGCCGGGAGATTGTTTTTTTTTGGACGTACCATCAGATCTTCTGTGCTAAAAAAATAATATAAATTAGTATAAATCAAAACTCAGGAGAGCAGAACACAAATTTGCAAATGACATTATGTTTTTAAACGACACCTTTACGCGAATAAGTGGTGTTTATATGTTACCCTACTCTTTATAAAATGGTCATTGTTATCTATTGCTTTATATGTTTGGTGTCATTTGTCTTGATATACATAATAATATGTAAAGCAAGACGAGGTAGTGATGAGTATGTTTTCTGAAAGCATGAATTTGTTTGTGAGTTCGGCGGTAAATGTTCTTTTTCATACATTTTTTTCACTCCTATCTTGAAAGTTGATGTTTTCAAGCAGTTATGTCTTTACATACATTAAAGTGAACCAGAATTAGGTGTCCTTAACAGTTATACATGGATTTATTTGGAATTTATCGTTATTGACCATTATGTATGAGCCAATGAGTTGCAAGGGGGGTGTGGCTTGTACTGTCAGCTAAAAAAAAATGACTGAGATTTCACTCTTCAGTCCCCCATTTATGTACTTGCATCTCTCATTCCATCTAACAGTATTAATTAATTTTGATGAAAAAAGTATTTCTCAGATAATATCTTTAATTTATATTACGTACTTCTCATTGCAGATAAGGAACTAATTGCTGCTAAGGAACGCCAGGAAATTGAGCTGACTGCCCAAAGACAAACACTTAACGAACAACGAACACACATAGATATCTTAGACTCTGCTCTCACTAACGCTCAGGCTAATGTGGTGAAACTGGAAGAAGAGGTAAGCCATTAATAAAAGAAAGATAGTGTTCACTGACAAAAAACAAAAGAAAAATGAGTTATATGTAGGTGTCAGCAGTCTCAGGCATATAACTTGGGTAATAATGTACTTTTCAAAAGTGACTACACTTTACATCTTATTGATTAAGAAGAAATGTAGTTGTATGATTAACCTTTAACAAATTATCTGCAAGATTCAAACTTCGAAAACACCAAAAGGTAGACCTCATTAATCCATTAACTTTACATTATTTATATTTCTTAAACACTTCGCTTTAGTGCTCCTCGGCAGCTACCTTCACCACAGTGGCAGCCCTCGCTTATGCAATCTTTCCCTTTAAACTAACTGGATTTTGGTTGTGTTGTTCGTTGGGAATACAGTACATGTGCCCAGTGCTGGACTCAGTCCGGTATGCAAAGGGATGTGGATTAAGCGAGTCCAGGTTAAAGGGAGTTTACTGTACCTTGTAATAATTATCATTACAGTATTGTTATTTTTCTACACATTCTGTATGTAGGATTGTGTATACATGTAACCGAGTAAGAAAAAATAAAAGAAAATTACGGATATCTACCCAAAATTACAAGTTGAAAAATAACCATTACAAAACATATTGCTCACAGGATAAAGGAGCATGCGACAAGTGTGGTGATGAATAGAAAAATGCATAATACAGTATGTGATAATGGTTGTTTAATGCTGACACTTTTCAATAATTTTCAACTTGTTTGTTTTTCTTTATTACATACAGTGTTACAGTTTTCCAGTCAGTATTCATGCAGCAATGAACTATCGGACAACTCCTCGGGGATAACGGACATCTGTCTCATATCTTGAGAGTTTGTCCAATAGGTTTAAGGTGTCCATTATAACTGGGTTCTGTTATATACATCATTTGTTATACTGAGGATTCACTGTATAGGCTTAGTTGATAATAAAGGAGTCGCTCAATCCAGATTCAGTTATAAAAGGGGATTTCAGGATCAGTCCTTGATATTTTACCTGAAGTTACCTTCTTGGGCAGCTCATGTTTATGTTACAGCAAGAAAATTTTTTCATCTATCGAACTAATAGAGAGGAAGGTATTGTCTTTCATAGGAGTTAAATATTGCAATTAATACAAGAAGAAGATAAAAGATGTATTATGATGAAAAGTGACAGACTGAATACTGTAGTACAGTATAATTGAAGTTTGGCAGAAGTACTAGGTATGTTAAGTTGAATTTGTTCTTAAATTTTAACACTATTGAATGTGGTAGACCATTAGATGTTGGCCACATCTGGAGACACTATTATGTAAGACATCTGGGTGTTTCCCTTTTAGGATTTTATGTTTGGTTGCATTCAAAATACAGTACGGCTGCCACATGGCGCCAAATACCTATGGCATGTTTGGTAGATTGCTATTTTTATTTATACAGATTTTCTGAAACCGTGATCTAAATGAATAAAGGTAACAATATACTGTACTGGTATATTACTTTGTATTTTTATGCTTCACTTCTAAATGTTTATGCGAGTTGAACATAGACCCATTTTACACAATTTTATGTATAGCTACATAGAGTTTTGAAAAGTCCTCATTCTTTTTATTTCCCTTTTTTCTAGTTACGAAAGAAGCAGAATTTAGTGGAACAAGCAGGACAACTGAAGCGCCTATTAGTGTCCCTCCAGTTGGCTGCTGATAGGAGGGAACAATCCGAGAAGAATCTTCGCTATAAACTGGAGAAAGAAATTGAACAGCTACGTCTTGGTTCTAAACAGGTTATTATTTGCTCTTTATTGTCCACATTTTTTAAATTTCTGTCTTGACAGATTGACTGACTTATTGACTTAAAGATTTTTTTTTTTGCAGTCTGAGCTGATCAGCAGGTATTGATGCTATTTATGACCAATTTTTGGTTATTCCTGTTTTTTATGCTAATCTCATGTACATTTACTCTCTTTAGATTGAGCAAAAAGTATCCAGTGGAGAACAGTAAACCTGTAGATTTCTTTACCACACTTTTAGCTTCTTTTCTCTAACAGAAATAAAAATTTGACCCAATTATATTTCCGTATTTGCACATTTATAAGCCATTTTCCTATGTAAGCCGCAGGGTGAGTTTTGAGCATTTTTCATACAAAAAGCCTTTTACCTCAGATCTAAGCTGTACCCTGAAGTTGAACCATCATTTCAACCCCTTGGCTGAGGCTATGGGAAAATGATTCTTCAGTACTGCTGTACACTACAGTGGTCCCTCGGTTAACGAACACAATTCGTTCCAGAAGGTCGTTTGTTAACCAAAAGTTTTGTTAACCGAAACCATTGTTTCAATGGGATTTTGGGTAATTGGATCCTGTTCACCGAAAATTACATACAAAGTAAAAAAAAAAAAAGGCAGTAAAGTACACTTAGTTTGAGGTGTGTGTGTGTGTGTAGAAGGCTCCCGGTTGATGATGATGGGAAATAGAAGTGGGGGTGGAAGAGAAATCGCCCCATGCTTTGATGCCGTCATTTCACCCATAAAATTTTAAGTTCACTTGGTGTAATTTAAGATTATTTTCTTTAAATCAACACTGCACTGCACTATATATTGTCAATATGTTAAATATATTTCAGAATGAACAATAATTGTACTGTAAAAACATAAAAATACTCTGTGTTCAAGAGACCCACAAGCAAGATGTTTCCTCCACTGAACAGAGATACAAACTGAGGCTTTGGTGGGTGAGTGAAGTGGCTGATTGGCGCATCAAAAACTAGTTCCCTTTACTGCAATTATGTTAAATAAGTGTTAAAATGACGAAAAATTTTAATATAAAACTTGGACAATTATTGAGTAGTACAACCTTCTTGATATTTACTTCAATTTTAACGAATGTAAGCCTTAGAATCGATTTCTGTATTGTTGGACTAATCTTCCAGCTGGTGAGCAAGCCAAAGCATAACGAAACATTTTTGTAAAAATTTTGTTAACCAAATTTTTTTTCGTTAACCGAATTTAATATTCTTATGGAAGGTAATTAGTTAATTGAGGGACCACTGTATATGCAAAGAACATAGGCAGATGAATACTTGCCAACTGAGAATGTTACTCGGTAAATAAAAAAATTTCATTGGCAGCAAAGGTGACTTTTCAAAACCGCTTGGTTATTTCGGATTCATTCTGAATTCAAATCGTTTAATTCATTTTTGAAAAACATACTAATTAAGTAATATCTCCGTTAGCTAGAATCCCTCAAACCCGGAACTCTCCGATAGCCGGAATTGAAATTTGCCCGGAAAAGCATTCCCAAAGCCAGAATTAAAAAAAAAATTCCGGCTTTGGGAACAAATTTTCCAAGGTCGAAAATCGAGAGCATTTTCTGAAAATGTCTTGAATAAAGATGAAGGCTTAAGTATTTTGGGGAGGGACCCGACCTGACTCAATGTCAGGTGGAGGTAGGGTGGGGGATTAGTGGTCTCATATTACTGACTTTCTGATGGAATGTCAGGTCACCCTTTCTTGGGTAGGGATTAGTGGGTCTCATGACCTGAAGATGTCTTGAATAAACATGAAACCTAAAGTATTTTAGAGAGATTGTTATAAGTATAAGTGAGCAATGTGTATCCCTTCAACATTACATTACATATCATTTTAAAATCTGGAGTGAGAAAGCAGAAAGGTGAGGGTGGTTCGAGAGATGGATTGGTAACATGCACCAGTGTTACTAAGTGATAAGCTCCTCAACACTGATCTTTTAATTTGCCTCCATGCAATCACACAACAAGACCCTCACTGGATGCTTGTTGTCTTAATTCCCGTGTGTGTGTGTGTGTGCGTGCATAAGATAAATGACACTGTTTCCATGAGTGCATACGTACATACGTTGGCCTCCCGCGCAGCCTCACTTTTTTTCCTCTACCAATTCATTAATCACATCTATTGTACGTACATAACATAACATTAATTAAAAGATACATACAGTATTTTTTACATAAATTTTACGACTGTACATCTACAACCATCATTAGTCAAGGCTTTAATGTACACAAAATCAATACAATGAGCTCTAATACTCACTCATTTCATCCCAAATACTACTGGATAATTGCTTTGGAAAAAATCCCTAAATGGCAACTGTAAGCTGACGGGTTTCAGTCCTGTCCATATGGTAGGAGATACTGACTGTCCCCCAACCACTAAGAGATCACTCCACATATGTGTATAGTTCATGAAACACAAGTCAACTTGTGGCATGATGGATGACTCATTAATGAGTAATACGGTATAAAATCAAGAGATTTTCAGGGAATTTTTTTAATATACGTCATATAGTACAGTATTTATGAAAAGAATACAAATAAAAATAATGATGGACCATCCACTTGTCCTCCTTCCATCACCCGTCATCTCCCACAGTCTACGCACCCAAATCTAGTTTTGTACAGTATCTTAATACTGTACAGTGTAATTCATATTCTGTTCCTATAATTCATGAGTCGATAATTTGTGAGGATGTTCATTATACAAATTATATAATGTTTTCTTTCATTTAAAATTCAGTAAGGAGTAAGAAGGTGAGGAGGGAGGGGGGGGGGAAACTGATCGTACACCCCCTAAAAAGATTCCTCGTCGTCACCCCATGCCTGCCATTACCATTGTAAAAAAAAATTTACTTTGTTTTTTGTTTACTAATAAAGATATTTTTACTGTAATATTCTGTGCTTATTAATACCTGTACCCTTCATATATAATACAGTATACAATACTTTTTATAATGTATCAGTACTGTAATGATTACATAAAAAACTGGTAAATTTGGCAGTAGAGAGGTCTGGGTGAAAAAATTGCCTTATTATTCAACTTATCCTGTAATTTTTATTTAAAATTAATAATTATACATCATATTTTTTTAATGTGTTTAATATTTTATATTAACCATGATAAAGCATACACCATAAGAGACTGATCATACGAGAATATAAAATAATAAATGTTGGAGGTGTGTGTATCGCCTCCTCCCTACCAACACATTGCCTCCCTCCTTCTCGCAGTGTCTCATACAAAAGATTTTATGTATTATATGGTGTTGGGGTATTAATTAATGAATAATAAACAATATTGTATTGTTAATGACAGTACAGTAGTTTGAAGAATAGTAGTGACAATTGTAGTATGCTGCTATTCTTCAAACGACTTTCGTTGACGATGCAATATTGCTTATTTATTAATTAATACCACAACATCACACCCAGACACCCCCATATTGTATGACATAAATTTATGCGTGGGTAACTATGTAGTGGCGAATTAAAAGATCAGCTGTTGAGGACCTTAGTACTTGGCAACACTGGTGCATGTTACCACTCCATCTCTTTAATCACCCACAGCTTTCAGCTTTCTCACTCCACATTTTAATATCTTATGTAACGTAATGTTGAAGGGATACAATATGATAAGTGTAAGTAAAAAAAATACTGTATTTTAGCTTTCATGTTTATTCAAAACATCTTCAGGTCTTGAGACCTACTAATCCCCCACCCAATAGTGGGTGACCTGCCATCGTATCAGATCAGTAATATGAGACCACCAATACCCCACCCTACCTCCACCTGACATTGTGTCAGGTCAGGTGAATTACATGAGGTCCACTCATCCCCCACAGCTCCAAGGGAGTGGAAAATACCAGTCTTTGCTCAAACACACAGCTTCATTCACGATCATATCATATAGATTTTTAGTTTAGACTCTTGGGAAACTCCCCAGCACACAGAAACATTATGAGGACGTTGGCTAGTGTTTGTCTGTGCACGATGCATAGTTTAGATACTTGGAAAGTTTTTCCAGTAACCGGAAATATTTCCGGGGATGGGGAATTTTTCCGGGTTTGAGAAAGTCGTCTGGTTACCCGGAAGTACTCTGCATCAATTGTTCCGGCTAACGGATTTCACTATAACAATTCGAATTAACAAGGGTACTGTGTACTGTTTAGTGAAGAAACAGGCAATTTAGATTATTGCTATCCGCGGCCATCGAATTTAATCCTCTATTTCCCATAAGCCCTTAGTCTTGCCAATCACAGATTTGCCAACCACAGGGTCTTTCAGGATCCTAACCCCAGCTGTTGGTGAGAAACTATTTACTGTAGTATTGGGAATCAATTGAATATTATTTTTCTGCAATTTTCAAGTTTTATTCAACAAGTTTTGAGCTTCAAGGATTTATTATGTATTTTTCAGGAAGGACCTGGGAGCAAGTTAAGTGACCTGCGGCGAGAGATACGAGAGAAAGATGAGAAAATTATGATTCTTGAGGGGGAAGTTACAAAGTGGGAGCAGCGCTACTTGCAAGAGTCAGCAATGAGGCAGCTTGCTATAGATGCTGCATCCATGCCCAAGTGTGTTACTTGCATCTGTGATTTCTGCAGACTAGGAACCTCTCGTCTCATTTTTATCTAATAGCTACTTATATCTTTTAAGATTTAATGACTGTGAAGAGGAGCTCTCTACATTATAAACACACATACAGTATATTTATCCCCACATTTTTTATTGTAACAAAGTGAATCACGAGACATTCACTTTCCGTCAAGGCTTTATCATCAATTGTCAACTTACCGAGTTGATTTATCAGTAAGGATACCACTATCATCTGTAGTTTGACTCCATTTTGTTTGGTGTAAACTTTTTCCTGTGACTCGGCCCATTGACATACTCCTAAACCACACCACAATTGTTAGTTGTTATATTTCTTTTGTTATCAGTTTTTCCATATATCTGACCCATCTTGGTATCTTTTCAGTATCTGATGCATCACCCCAACAATTTCTTAACCTCACACTTCTTTACAGCTTTATATCATACCCAGTATTTTCTCTCTTAATTTTGAGAAAGTTGAAATCAATACTCATCTCTACTTTTTCATCTTTAGTTTTCTGTACAGTACTTGGGAAGCTTGTAGATTGACATCAATATAGAATAGATTGAACAAGCACTCTATGCTGGCTTCTTGCACATTCTTCAATTAACTTCCTACTAAAGCTTTAAGAGCGTATTCAGTTCTTCTTCCTTATTTTAACATATTTGTGGTTTCTTTCTCACTGCAGAACTTGTTAAACATACATCCTGTATATTAATTTCTGGCAGAGAAAGATGCCTGGGGGGGGCAAATTCACACGTACTGGTATTTCTCAGAGTTTCCTGTTCTCACAAATACCCACCATCAACCTATTTACCACCAAATTTTACACTTCTGGCAATTCTCACTTTGAAATCCCTTCTGCGTTAAAAATTCCCTTGGCAGCTGGAGAAAATTAGCCTTTCATGTAGAATATGTAATTACGTACCATAGAAAAACTAATTCATCTTCAAAGATTTCTTCTCCATTTTGTTTACCCTCTGCTGAGCTTCCTTTGTTGTCTTTTAAATGGTTCATTTATTATTATATCTACAGAGATGCCAAAATTGCTGCCTTAGAAAAAACTAGCCAGGAGAGTGAGCGCCACATCGCCCAGGCAAAGTCAGACAAACTGCGCCAATTGGATGAGATCCACAGCATGAGTAAGAAGCAAGCGGAGTATGAAGCCAGGTCATTATAATTAAACTAGTTTGTTTTATACCACTTCTTTATAATATGGTACCAGGAGAGCATGACACACTTCTATTCATATGTAAGGAGATATATAAGAGGAAAAAATAGCCATAATGTGTAGCATGGTTACCTAGAAGTTTTATGGCAGTCCACTCTTTAATATTAAAATAGTGAAATATGAGTATGTCAATACAGTACCGCTTAGAATTCAGGCATAAGTATGTACATTACTCTCTAAATGGATGTGAAGGCGAGTGGCCTGAATAAGGAATTGGGAAATGAAATGGAGATATGATATTAGAGTGGATTTGTGAAGATGAAGAGAGACTTTGTGGTAAGAGAAAACTTATTACAGCAACATATTTGCTGACAACTACTTAACTACTTGTAGAGCATACCTGGTACTTTATGATAGAAATGGCTTCTGATCTCAAGATCATACTTAATGTGTATATACTGTATAATTAAAAGTTACAGCTAAGGTAGATTGGAACAATATCACTGCTTTAAAGTTACAGTACAAGAAAATTTGTGAGGGACAATTCATTCTAAAAGGATTTGAACAGTATATAGGTGAAAGGTTGTGGAGTAGTGAATAGATTGTTTAGATGTAAATAGATATCATTGAAAGAATTTATGTACTTGAATAAGATGAGTGAGTGTAGAAGAAAGTTGAAGAGTACAGTTGAACAGTAGAGGGAAGGGTGTGTGTAAGTTTGAGTGGTTTCAAATTGATTTTGCAAAGATGTTTGTGTTTGGAGAGATATTGCATGAGCATCCCTCAAGTATAACAGGGGAAGGCTTTTAAAGTTTTTAAAAAGTGTAAATTGGTAGTTATTCTGATATTTATATCAAGCCTTTTTTATGTTAAGCATGGTCGACATGAAATTTTGTCTAGAGCAGTTTTGGCTCTATTCTCAAATTATTTTTGTTAATATGATCACTCTGACTTCCCAGTTGACGTTTGACTTTCCTGGATACTTACAGAGTACTTCTGTCTATTTTTGAGGCACTGTATTACAGTTCAAAACATGGTGGTCCTCCCAGGTTCTTTACCATTGCATGAAATGTATCATCTTTGCACTTGAGCCTTTTTCAAATAACCTTTGTTCTCTAGTGCAAGCAACCACTTATCTGACACAATATACAGGGGGGGGGCCCCCCCAAGTTTGCGTATTTTATTTCGCGCTCTATTATTCGCAGATGACACCCTGGATGTACCCAAGAATGTATGTGGGTAGTTTTAAAGTTGCCGGCATTTTTGCTGCTGGGGCAGGGAGCCATTCTTTTTAGAGACAGTAATTTCCTTTACCTGTATTTTAAATATGTGTCTGTGTGTGCGTGTGTGTATGTGTATAGACACACACACACACACACACACATATATATATATATACAATACAGGTAAAAGAAATAATTGTCCTAAGGGCAAACTCATAAAAAAGGGAATATATAATTCTGTGTACTACACAAGTAGTAAAACTGCAACCCCCCCCGGTCCGCAAATGTTATTTGCGGATTTGGTGATACGCAGCCATTTTGAGAACCTAACCCCTGTGAATTTGGGGGGCCTCCCTGTACTTTCTTGTATTTTATTTTCATCTATTCTCTTCGGTTACAACAATCCAGTACTTAATGTATTTTCACTTATCATTAATATGGTTTTTCTTGCTAATATAAAAGGCAGTTGCATGTAGATTTTCCTTCTGGTAGCTTATTCATAGTATATCTCCCTACATGTTTTTAATCTTGCTTCCATTTGCGTTATATTTTCCAACTTTTCATCCCATCTCATCTTTAGGTGTGTGTACATAAATACCCATTCATCTGATTGTATTTTTTATGCCATTTTTGCAGTCTTTACTTATTGCTTTTATTGTGATGAATTGAATAATTATGATATATTCTAAGGGAAATATCATTGAAATTTACTCACCAGGAACCGCGAACTGGAAAGCCACGTAGCGGAGCGTGATGCTATGATACGTGTTTTGCAAAGACGTGCTGAGGAAAAGGAGGCCTTATACCAAAAAGTCCTTATGAGAAACTCACTGAACACTGGAAAAAGGTAAGTGGTAATAATTGAATGATATTTAGTAATGCGAGAAGTGACGGCTGAATATTAATTCTTGCTGAAGCATAGTTAACTCAAAATTTTAGAAATGAAAATCACCATTGAAAGAAAGTACATATGTTTGGTGTTTTAGGGATCAGTCATAAAGGAATGCAGTATTTATTGTGTTTTTGGTCAGAATTTGTGTATGTGAAACAATTGCAAATGAAAAAAAAATATCAGAATTCATGTGAAGATGATAAGTACTATACTATATCCTCAACAAGTATGGTCATGAGATAAAGTACAGTAATTGTAATCAAAACAAGAGAAAATAAAGAGAAAAAACAAATTACTTAATAAAATGGAGATTTTTTTTTGCATGAGTGGATATTAGTACTGTACAGTATTGTACTTATATGCAGGTTCTTGTTCTTGAATCTCTACCTTTATTTAAAAGATTTTAAATGGATCAGCCTCTAAAGGATTTGATTAATTGATAAATGTAGGTTCAAGTTGATTAATATACACATTAAAAGTGAGTATGATAAGTTTAGTATTTTAATGAGTGGACTGTTTTGAAAATATATTTAGACAGACCCAGAGCCAAAACTATTTTTTGTGTTGCAGTATGTTTACTAAGTGAATATATCTTGTTATTTCAATTCATTCTCACTAAATGATAATACAGTACAGTACTACCTCTCTATACCAAAATAAGTGGTTAACAGCCAGTTTGTTATAGAAAATTTTTCATTAAAAACAAATAAAAAAAAATCGTCCAAAACTGAACTTAGTTTGATATACAGTGGTCCCTCGGTTAACGAACACAATTCGTTCCAGAAGGTCGTTCGTTAACCGAAACCATTGTTTCAATGGGATTTTGGGTAATTGGTTCCAGCTCACTGAAAATTACATACAAAGTAAAAATAAATGCAGTAAAGTACACTTACTTTGAGGTGTGTATGTAGAAGGCTGTGATGATGATGATGATGATGGGAATTAGAAGTGGGGGTGGAGGAGAAGGGAGAAGAGAAGGAAGTGGGGGTGGAAGAAAAATCACCCCATGCTTCATGCCGTCATTTCGCCCATAAAATTTTAAGTTCACTAGGTGTAATTCAAGATTATTTTCTTTAAATCAACACTGCACTGCACTATATATTTCAATATGTAAAATAAATTTCAGAATGACCAATAATTGTACTGTAAAAACATAAAAATAGTTTATGTTCAAGAGAGCCACAAGCAAGATGTTACCTCCACTGACCAGAGATACAAACTGATGCCTTTGTGGGTGAGTCAAGTGGCTGATTGGCACACCAAAAATTTGTTTCCTGTACTGCAATTATGTTAAATAAGTGTTAAAATGACTAAAAGTTTTAATATAAAGCAGAAAATTATTGAATAGTACAACCTTCTTGATATTTACTCAAATGGGAACGAATTTAAGCCCTAGAACCAATTACTGTATTGGCGGACTAATATTCCAGCTGGTGAGCAAGCGAAAACATGTTGATATGATTTCGTAAAAATTTCGTTAACTGAATTTTTGTTCGTTAACCGAATTGAAGATTCTTATGGAAGGTAATTCGTTAACCGAGGGATCACTGTATATGAAAAAGTTCGGTATTTTTAGTCTAGATGAATTGTCACAATATACTGGATTTTTTTTTTTTTTTTAATAGTTTGATAACAAAAGACTTTATTAAACACTAAATAATCATACATTATACTGTACTGTACATAAAAAATACAGTAACACATAGATATTGCACAAAAAGTAGTTCTATATTACATAAACAGCTCCTTCCTTGGCTGGCTGTGTGGTCAGCTGTTGTCTTTGTAAACAAGGCATCAGGAATTTGATACAACATAATTCTTCTGGGGTTGAGTTTGGGATAGTCTTATAGGGAAAATTTACGATAATGTTTTGGGGTTATTTCTCCAAATCACTTATTTCCTATTGAACCTAGTCTTTGCCAACCATGGTTTTAACCACAGAAGAATTCTAGAAAGTTATCACTTTGTTGGTGAGTGACTACTGTATAATGGCTAAATATGGGAGAGGATGGCTGAAAGGATTCCAACATTATATTAGAACATAAAACACATCAGATATGTTACAGCTAAATCAGTACAGTACAGTATTACCTTTCTATAGTGAACTTCTCTATACCGAACCCCTCATTAGATTCCAGTAGTACCTCTCTTCTGAACCAATTCACTGTAGTACTGTATACCTCTCCTCTCCTCAAAATTCTCAAATACAGTATTACAATGTAATATTATACAATGGAGAGAAGGTAAGAAAGGCGGGTTTCTGGCTGGACTAAGTGGAAAATTTCCCCCCCTCCGGGGTTTTCCCCTATATAATTTGTTAGGATGTGTTTTGAAATGATGGAATTAGGGTTGGAGTGAGAGAATGTGGTGTCTTAAAGGAGTTTTTTGGAGTACACTGTGGTGCTGTAGTTCTGTATCCAATCCTATATTGTACATAAAAAGATATGCAGTAATGTAATTCAATATTTTGCAACAATCCCAGAGTTCTACTCCTGCATAACTGTATATAGAGGATTTACTGTACCATGATTGGTAAAACTGTGTACAAAATATAAAATGTGAATACTCAAAACTGTGGTTGGTGAGGGGTGAATATATCTTTTCAGGCATTGTGTATTTTGTATGGAATTTTTTTTTAACCTTTTGTTTTTGTAATGATTTTTTTAATTATTTATTCTAACCATTACAGTCTTTACTTGTTTCAGCTTGGATGGTAGAAGCAACAGCAGTAACACAAGTATGGTCCACAGTAACCAGGCATCAACAATTCACTCACACAGCAGTAGTGGGATAGGGGGAACTGGGGCTGGTTCCAGTACCCCAGGTACACCAAGACGAGATGAAGAGCTCGGTGAGATCCTCCTCTAGTGTTATGAGGAGATGCCAGCATATTGCAGTATACCTCCTATTGCTGAATGTCATTGTCAATGAGCAAATGACCAGTGTACAGAAATATCCTGGTGCTAATATTCTTGAATGCTAACCAATATAATTAGTGACCAGAGATATTTGGTACCTGACAGAGCTCTGGTCTTGAAGTAGTTGTTTGTGGTAGCTCTTATTGATTACAATAACTTGTAGTCATGTATGTGTGCTTTTTGCACAATTAAGCTTCCTGTGAACTTATAGACTAACTGCCATTCAGCCATACATGTGGCTGTCACACCCTACCTCATATGGACTGAGTGAGGTGTAAGGTGTTGTGAGAACTTAAAATTGATGTTCAGTCTTTTTGTCACTGCTGCATGTGTCTGACGTCTGCTGATGCCACTTGTTTGTAACTGTGTTTCCTAAGTTACAGCAGTTCTGCATCTGCTTAATGTTATGTGACTTAAGAGCAGAATGCATTAAATGTGCTGCCTACCTGCCTGCTGCCCGCCCACTTGCCTGTCTGCCTGACCCCGTGTGTCTCCTTTCTTTGTCATAGGTGAGATATTTTTTATACAGTATCTTGTTATTCTAGGGTAGGAATAATGAAATTACCTTTTTACTCTTTAGAATTACCCGTTCTGCTCTTGTTTCTTGTAACTGATGTACTGTATACAGTACTGTTATCCTCCAAGTTCTCTATATGATCTCTTGTCTTGATTTTTCAAGACACATAGACTGATGCTTTTCCACTAAATTTGCTAATTGTTTTAATTCTTTTCATTTTTTCCGTACTCCGTAATTCTTCTCTAGTTTATACCGCAAATGAAAGGTTTGGGTATGTAGTATTAATGAAGACTGTGTGTAAATAGACTTTGTCTTGCTTTAAAAGGAGTTTTAAGGACCAGATTATATATGAACTGAGACAGCTATCCATAACTGAATTTGGGATTAAGGGGGGGTATGGTTAAGGTTTTTGTAACCCAAACTAGGTAAATTATTTCCATCGCAATATAAGTTCCTTGGGTAATAAATTGACAAAGCTTAACTCATTGCTTTATATTAGAAGAAGGTAAGTCCATCTTGGCTTTTAGTTAGAAATATCAAGGCAAAGACAGTAAGTAATTTATTTATAGAACAAAAAAATTTAACATCAGATCTTTTTTTTTTCTTTTAGTAAATTTGACTTGATTGATTTCTATTGGGACGATGAAACCAAATTCAACTGAGCTTAAACGATTAGTGACATTGATCGCATCAAAACAAATTTGTAATAACTGTAGTTCCATAAAGCTTCTCACTAAGCCATACCAATGGCTCTTTTGTGGATAAGAAAGATTCCTAAGGCTTATTAGATCTAAAAACCAAAGGTCAAATTTAATATGAAATAAATGCAAAAGTTATTGATTTGTTCACAATGAGATACATATGACCAATTGCTCATATACGCTAGCTTTGCAAGAACCAGACTCGCATATGTGTGGTTTACTTTTTATTACTAAAAATTTGTTTATACCATGCTAAGGTTCAAATACTATGTTGATATGCATAAAATTTTCATCTTTCCTTCACATTGCATTGAAGGATAACATTTTGCATGCCAGAATGCATCTGGAGAATTGTTCAGAACTCTTCCTTTTACAGTTGAAGCATGCCCTTACAATTCACATATTTTTAATTTGCGGCCTTCGATTATTTGCGGATGACACTTTGGATGTACCTAAGAATGTCTGCAGGTAGTTTTAAAGTTGGTGTCTTTTTTTGTGGCTGGGACGAGGAGACGGCAAGTTTTATGCCATCCCGCAAGGTGTCTCTCTTGTCCCAGGTGGCTGGGCAATGCACGCTCACTCCACCTCAGTCTGGGTTAAACACAAGTCTGTTTCGCGCGTGTGCTACTCTGCTCTCTTAACAACTGTGCTCCACATGCTTGTGATGGCTCCCAAATGCCCTCATCCACCTTCATCCAGCTGCCAGAAGGTGCCCAAACAAGTGAAGAGAGAAAAGGTCATGTATTTCTCCCATACGTATGCCTGGCATAGGGAGCTGGTAGGGGGAGTGAGAGACTTCTAGTTAGTTCATCATCTGCAATTGTAAATTTTCTCACTCCCTGCCATATTTCACTGGATTTACTGTTATTATTAATGTTTAATAGTGATTAACCATGGCATTGTAGCTAGGTTAGCTTGTCATTGTAACCAATGGGTTACTGGGCCAAGCTGTGAGGTGTTATGGTTTTTCAACTCGTATTTTCGGATAGATATACGTAACGTTCTTCATTTATTTTTACTCATTTTCATGCACCCACCATCCTAAATACAAATTGTGAAAAAAGGTAAAATAAATATTGTCCTAAGGGCGAACATGTAACGGGAGAAGAGCGCAGAGTGTAGCTGGTGGGGAGCGTTGCTAGGGAATCAGCGTCCCAGCTGATCTTTGTTACTGTGGTGGAGCAGTTAGTATATGCAGATGGCGACTGTGTTAAACTTTCATTTGGCTTTTATTTACTGGTTTGGCAATAGTATTTTTTTTTTTGTTACTTATTTATTGATATTATTTTTATTTATTCCTCTCATTTCCTGGTACAGTAAAGCCTGGAATAACGACGTTAATGTGTCATCCAATATTGCAGTGTAAGGTGAATCGTCTTATCGCGAATCATTAATTACCATTAAAATAAAGCAATAATAATGAGATGCATTCCCAAGTGGGACCTTTATATATATCTTTTGTGTGGCTTTTTACCCCCTTTTCCCCCAAAAACAATACAATTAATGAAAATTGCAAACTATATTCTTTAAATTGTGTTTCTGAATGCACCTTATACAATATAAATGAATAATGATATGGTCACACAAGAGGAGATGGGACGCCATTGTTTTCGTTTGTGTTTACAGCCGGGAGTCTGGGACGATAGTTCTACACGAGAAAATGAAGAAAATAAGACCCTGGTTGTAGCTGTAGTAAAATTAATGTAAAAAAAAAAATGAATATATATGTTTTAAGTAACGTTATTTAATGTTAATAAATGGAACAATAGAAGTAGCTAACCACTAATGACAAAGAAAAAAAGAGATGGATTGGGAACGCCAACATATACATGCGCATTTAAGGATACCGCGTCATTTATTTTTTTTAAGAAATGTACAAAATATTCATTATTGTTTATTACTGAATATGAATTTGATTGAATTAATCTTTATACCTTGTATATGCGAAATGAACAATACAATTTTTAATAATACGTAGAATATTAAAACACACAAGAGGATAAGAGACGGCATTGTCAGTGTTTACACTCGAAATGTCAGTAATCCACCTGAAACTGAAGAAAATAAGACCCTGGTTGTTTTTGTAGTGAAATTAATGTACAAAATATGTATGTTTTAATTAATGTTATTTAATGTACAATAGAAGTAACCACTGGTGTTAAAGAAAAGATGAGACAATGGAATGCCAATGTATACAGTACGTGCGCATTCAAGGAAACAGTCATTTATCTTAAGAAAATGTACACAAGATTCATTATTGTTTATTACTGAATATGTATTTGATTGAATTAATATTTATATATGTGAAATGAACACTGCAATTCATTAATAATACATAGAATATTAAAACACACACGAGGAGACAAGACAGCATTGTTTTCGTGAGTGACAATGGTTCTACGTAAGAAACTGAAGAAATTAAGACCCTGGTTGTAGCTGTAGTGAACTTAATGTAAACAAAAATTGAATACCCGTATGTATGTTTTAAGTAATGTTATTTAATGTTAATAAATGGAACACTGGAAGTAGCTAACCACTAATGGTAAAGAAATAAAGCGAGACGATTGGGAACGCCAACGTATGAGCAGTTAGTGCGTACATGTGAAAACATATCATCATTTCTCTACATATGAATATGAAAGCAACACTTATTTACTGTTCATATATGTTTTAAATAATATTTACGAATGTAAAACAAAAATTCTATTCACCAATGGTGGTAAAGTTAGGACAGCCAATGAATATTGTGCGAGTCTTTACTCAGATGACGAAGTCATCAGGTTCAACTCTGACTGAAGCTGTAGCTTTCCATAAAGCTGTTGCTGAAACTGTTACTGAACCTGAAGTTGATGTTGAAGCTGCTTATGATGCTGAATTTGATGGCGTAGCTAAAGTTAGGTTAGCTAAAGTTGATGGTTTAGGCCTTCGAATAATAAAGCTGTTGAAAGAACCCTGCACAGCTGCTTTCTTTTCTCATTATACATCTTTATGTAGAGGTCATATCTCCATTAGCCGGAATCCCTCAAACCAGGAACTTTCCGATAGCCGGAATTGAAATTGTCTCGGAAATGTTTTCTCCAAAGCCGTAATTTTCCGGAAAATTCAGGCTTTGGGAATGATTTTCCAAGGGGCACATTTTCCATTAAATTAAAAAAAATTCCCGATACCCAGAAAATTCTGGGGATGGGGCAGTTTTTGTCTAGGTTTGAGAGATGAAAATCGGGTGCATTTTATGGAAATTCTGGAATTTCTGTTTCCCGGAAATTTCCGGGGATGAGGGATATTTTTCCTGTTAGAGAGATGATGTAATGGGCAATTTCTGGAACTTTCAAGAATATTTTTTCATTACCCGGAAAATGTTGAGTAAACACTGAAGAGCTCGGGTGCAGGAACTCCGAGGCACCTGACTCGGCAGAGGAGGTGGAGATGAAAACTAGAGGATTTGACAACTGTACTGACATGTGTTTTCGAATTTAGTTTGTTGTCTATAGTGTTGCCGAGGAGCTTATTGGAGTCCACAACCTGGAGTGTGTTGAGGCCCAAAGTAATGGAGGGAGGTGGGACAAGGTCGGAGGAGAGGTTGATGTGCATAACCATGGTCTTGGTATGGTTGATGATGGTATGGTTGATGATGACATGGTTGTTGGTGGCCTAATTTTGGAGACTTCAATAAGTCTTGGAGGGTGGTGTAGTCAGGAGCCGAATTGTTGACACTGATCCCAATGGTGGAGTCGTCGACATATTCCCAGTGAGCAGAGATTTCTCTTAGGGCATCATTGATAAGCATAAGGAAGCAGAGCAATCCTATCTTAGTGCCTTGGGGGACACCACAGGTGAGTGACTGAAAAGTGGGGACAGCCCCTCGGAAGCGTACAGCTTGGCGTCGGTCACTAAGGAAGTCTGTAAGCAATGGTATAAAACTTCTTTGAAACCCGTGGTCGATAGCTTTGTTGATGATTAAATTGTGGTCGACTAGGTCAAATGCTTTGGTGAAGTCAATGAAGGTGACAGCCACAGACATCTTTCGTTTTTCCAGATGGTGCTATATATAGTCAAGAAAGCTGACAAGACAGTGAGTTGTGGAGGATGTTTTCATATTGCCAAATTGCTGAGGATTTGTGGCTCCTGCGATATCAGCAAAAGCTCAGTCAAACACAAAACTTTTGCAGATTAAGCTGGGTATTGGTGATGGCACTGGGTCGTAGCTGAAGCACGAAATTCGTTAATAATTGATCAATTAATATTAATTTCCTGTCAGCAATTAAGAACACCACATACATTGTTGCTATACTCCTGAATTGGTTCTCCCTGATACCTGATTTTCCCTTATATTCTTAAAAATTTCAAAATCCTACTTCTCCATAACTTCTCGCTAGATTACGTTGATATTCATGTAGACTATAGGTAATTTACTCCTCTTGAACATGACCTATAGGTATTTCTGATTAGCACTTTTGTTTTGGGTGCATGAATTTTTTTCCTAACTCACCATATTTTCCTCCAAATATTTATAAAGATAAATCAGAAAATAATAAACCAAGCCAAATATAAAGAAAATATATATATGTTCAGTCATGCACAGCATGTTATTCTACTACTGTACTCAGTTTTTGTTTTATTAGAATCAGCCAGCCGAGCCTTAGGGATTTGAAGGTTAGAAAAACTCGTTTTGAGATATTGTCCAGTAAGGATGGAGCGAGAGCAACACATGGTCGAACCTCACTCTCGCTTCTTTCATGGGTAACTGATGCGTACAAGTAGCCTCAGACTCTGGTCATGTTCCTTGCTAGCTGAGAAAGGTGCCACGTACTGATTTTTACCAAGAGTGATTGGTATACCCACCTCTTGTTTTTCGTGGGGGTTAGGCTCTTGAAAATCACCGCTTAATTAAAAAAACGCGTAAATTAAACCTATTTTTCCCATAAGAATACATGTAAATGGTACAGGTTAGGGGAACCATCATATACTGTACAGGGTAACTCATGATAAATATTCTTTTACCTAACTCATTCATAAAGAAAAACCAGTTAATAAAGAAAAACAATTGTAAATGCACCTTAAATAACACTTACATTGATGACTGGCGACTTCAGCTTGACAAAGGTGGAGTAGGGAAGGGTTGAGGAATAACAAACAAAGCGTTGTTTACCCGTTACCCTCAATAATAAATTCAAGTAACCACTGCTACAATTATTATCTTACTCTTTAAAATACACAAGACAAAATACACTAAAATATAACAGCTGTCAGCAAATGAACTACACATTTTGCCACGTTGTCTTGAATCTAGTAACACCTGCAAATGACAGACTGTGCTATAAATTCTTAGTTGGTTTTTGACCTTGAAGAGTTTAATGTAAACTGAAGTTGTAAAGAGTATGTGAATTAGTGTCCAGTGAGATAGTGATTGCATTTTGAATTAACAAATACGTATAAGTATTTAAGGGAGATTTACACTTAGGTTTGCATAGAAAATGTGAAATATGAAATCTAGTAAAAGGAAAAGCAAATAGCTTTCCTTTAAGACTTTAGGAGGTCTAAGGCACAGTTGATCTCGGTTTAAAAAAAATTTCACATGCTAATTAAATGTGCCTCAGGTTTGTCGCAAGCATATGTTGTGAAAGATGCGGTTTGAAAACACATCCAGGATTATATAGTTTAGATTTAAAAGAGAAGAATATACCACATTTGGTTGGTTTAACTGTGTTTTTGTGGATATAAATATAAAGGTTGCATATTCATGTTTATTTGGATATATCTGTAGGTGTATGTACAATCAAAGACAAAAGTCGCGTCGCAGTTTTGTCCGAAGATTAAATATAACTCTTGAAACATTATGAGAGGCCCCAACCACAAGAATGTGGACCAAAAGTTTAGCCCTTCGGCATATGTTTTCACCAAATTTCACGAACATGACTTTTGTCTTTCATTGTACATTATACAGTTTATGTATTGATGACCGATTGATAATGAAGTTATTATTCTCACAATGCTGGTCCTCATCTGAGAGATAATAACTGTGACCAACTTCAAATCGGTGCTTATTTTAGCTCACTTTCCCACAGGATGTGCCCCGCCTATCCCTCCATTCCCATCCCTGAGCCACATGTCTATGAGTAATTCTTCTACAAAACATAATGCCATCAATCCCTACTTGGACCTTGCATCGCCTTCCTTTACATCGACATGCATTGCTTCCACTTCTGCTTCATCCACCTCATCAGTATCGATGGGTCTAGAAAATCAGGCTAGTGGTCGACTGAGCGGGTCTCGTGATCATGCTGATGAACAGAAAAGGATGGACAGCTGTAGGGGAGCATGCCATTCACCTGCAACACTCCCCGACTTGGATACTTTGAGTTCAGACGACCTTCTGGGTGATGTTGATGATGGCATGCACGGAAAGGTGGGTAAAGTTATCTCATTTGTTATACTGCAGTAATAGACTACATGGTTGTGTTGTATTGTTTACTTTTATCATCATAATTTAAGTAAGGAACACATGCCTACCATAAATTGTTTAATGAATTCTTTCTTTTTATAATATCTTGCCTTTACCTCCCTCATCCTCTTTACTTTCCTAGACTTTAAAACAATATCTCCTGAACTCTGATGCATATATAAAAAGGTACTTTTCTCATGCATACCAGACTTCCTCCTGACAGTTGTGTTGTCAGCCACCTGTACTTTTGTTTATGATGTATAAACATCTGTTAGTAAGAAGTACAGTATATGAAATTATTACTTAATGTGATAAAAAGAAATACAATAATGAAGGTTGCTACGGTAAGTGTACATGGGTATAGAAACAGTAAAACCTCAGTAAATCAAACTTCAGTATATATTGGATTTTTTTTTTCTGAGGGGGGGTGGTGTCAGAAATATTATTAAAAAAAAAAAAGAGAAAATCCAGCATCAGGTCGGACGGTTTGTGTATTCATACATGGGGTTGAATGTCTGTGTGTGGTGTTCTGCTGCATGTGTCGCACTGTCTCGGACTCTGTCTCAGTCAGAGTCCTGCCTTCATATCTATAGTATCAGTGTGTCACACCTTGATACCTACACTCATTTATGTGAACTTTTTTGTAGAATATGTAGTATTTTTAACGGGGGTTCTAGAGGGTTTTAAGAAATGCGTTAGAATTATTTAATTACTGTAATATATATATTTAAAGAAACTGGTAAAATTTAAAAAAAAAAGTCTTATTAAAAGAACAGCACTTGCTTACTGAAAGCTGTACAATGGTCTAATCAGATTTACTGTAGGCTGGGGCAGAAGAAGGTTAATCGGGCGGTGCTGTATTCGGCAGGTTTATTCATCAATTCATTATTACAGTATATTCTCGTATGATCAGACTCTTATGGTGTATGGTTCATCATGATTAATATAAAATCTTCAGTAATAGAGAAAAAACTGTAATTTGTAATTTGACTTGAAAGTAAAAGGATAAGCTGTATAAGAAGGTATTCACTCAGGATGCATTTGTGTAAGAGCTTTCAGCAAATCAGCTTATAACAGGATCACTAAAACACACTGTATAGTATTTAATATGAAGATACCTTCCAAACATTGTTATTTACTGCCTTTGAGTTATATATGATGGCTCACTTTGGCTATTTATACACTTAGACAGCCGATTACTGAATAAAACAGGGTATATGCAAATGCATAATACTGTAGACTACAACATTACTTATTAATTGATGATAAATACACCACAATATTATTTATTACTTGATGATAAATACATTACAGTATTACGTAAATACATTTTTGTAAGAATTTCGTTAACTGAATTTTTGTTAGTTAACCGAAATGAAGATTCGTATGGAAGGTAATTCGTTAACCAAAATCTTGTTAACTGAGGCATTCGTTAACCGAGGGACCACTGTACATAATAATTTTTTGAGATGATACTTTGAAGTATTTATGAGCCTCATGTTATGATTTTTTTTCACACCATACGCTAGTAATTAAGTACAGGTATACCTCGCGATACTGTACCTCAGACAAATGCATTCTTCAAAAGTGCAACATTAAATAAAACAGTGTACTCAAGTTTACCATAAACCTAATGATCTAAATACGTTCTTGGGGGATATTTTTGTTCCAATTTTCTCACCAATATATTAAATTGGCACTTTGATTAGATTATTATAAGTTACAGTAAATGTTTGGATATAAAATATAAGTCAGTAAGATAACATTATCCAAGATGATTGAGGAGACTGGGTATAGAGGCAGTCTGGAGTGGCGAGTGGTGGAATTATTGAGACTTGGTGGCAGGATTGTCTGTCTTTTCATTTAAGGATGAACATTTCAAATGTTGGTTCAAAGACAACTGGACAGCTTCTTTTTGTACAGCTTTTTGTGGCAGAAAGTAACTTGTTAACTTTAGAGTTGTGTTCTCTGTTTGGATCACACTTGCTGAAAATGCCGGGTAGGCTAAGCACTCTGGTGATGTCAATAGCTCATTCACAGGCATCAAAATGGCCAAAACATGAAATTTAATCTCTAGATTAATACTTTTCCTGGTTTTTTCCTACCAGAGGCACAAATATCACTTGCTCTGTGTTTTCCACTCGTCTTACAGGGTTTGGGTTAAGTTTTACTCACTGTAAACATGAGATCAAGCAAATGTGGCGGTAATGATTAAACAGATGCTGGGAAGGGGATGCAGCAGGGAATTCAGCGGTCGTTCAGCATTCTAAGGCTACCTAAAGTAGTCCACTATTGTTTAATTTTTCTCTAATTCATCAACAATGTATAAGCAAAGAGACAAATAGCAAGGTAATGCATTGAGAGGTATACCTGTATCCAGTTTCAAGGAGTTATTTCCTTGCTCAGTCTTTCACTGTTTCCTTTAAAATTTCATCTGTGTACTACATATATGCCATCTCGCACTGTCCGATTGGGTGGCTTTTGTGTAATCTCTTCCGTTCTCTCCTAGAGAACTCCAGTTACCCCTCTGTACTTACCTTTTTCACCTATATGCTTTTTCACTTCGTCCTTCCACGTGGTTTGTTCTTCTCCATAATCTTTATCATACAAAAGTATATCGTTCCCCATACTGTCCTGCCTCCCTCCTCCTCCTTTTCCTTTTCAAGTACTCTTGCTAAGTAACCCTCATCTTTTTTAAGTTAATCAGTTCTTACTGCTAGCATGTGGCAAATGGTTTAGAAAAAAAAAAAAAAAAATCACCAATACCCAAATTATAGCAAGGCACTGTAGTAAATATTGCCCAATGCCACTGGTAAATTTTGTTGTCATAAAGTGCTCCAGTGTATCCCTTTTCCTGTGAGTTTTTATCAAGATATATACAGTATACTGTACATACTATATAAGATTAGCCAGAACTAATGTTTTATAGTGATGTTTGATTTTACAATTGTATGGCAATGGAGAGTGTGGGAAGTTTTTTTTTTTTAATTAGATTTAGAATTTATCAGATTTTATATTTTGAAATAACCAGTTTTATGTAATTTTTTGCCATTGCTGTAACTAATCACAGTACAGTATATTTTTCATTTATGCTTACTGTTTTCCAACTACTAAATTTGTTGCCACTCTTATTTATCTCTTTCTTTCTTTATTTTCTGGCCATGAAACAAGTCAGCATATTTAAGAATAATATACATTGTTTATAGCCAAGAAATATTGGCAGTAATAAATGTAGGCATAATATGTGAAGGGGATCAGATCACTAGACTAAAATTGACTGGGTAGCTAACATGAATTAGAACTTCAAACTATGCATGTTTCTTAATATATATATAGTACAGTACAGTACAATACTGTAGTATGCTTAGCAGCTGGTAAAGAAGATAGATTTTTATTGGCCATTGTGCTGTTTCTTGGAAGTAATGCCTGTAGTGTAAATTGAGGTAATTTTCTCTTGTGATCACTTAGAGTAGTGTTATACACTAATTTTTGCAAGGGAGCCACTTTGGCAAAACACATTCATTGAGAGAGCCACAAATTAGCTTAATACATTATTAAGAGACACTGCTTGTTGTAGCCTTTACATATACAATATAAGTATTTTTTTTAAGAGCCGCAAATTAAGTCGCTGCGAGCCACGCAATGAGTACCACGAACTTAGAGGAAGCAGATAGTTTTTAAGGTTTATGAATGGATTTTGAGTTTAAGAGTGAAGGAATAAACTGGGCAGCTTTGGACATTGTAATGTAAGGAGAAGACCATAGCAGAACACATCTGTTACAACAACTGGAATGAATGAATTATGTTTACTGGAGAGTTATCATGCTCTTGATTATAAGCACATAATGTTAAAAATCTGGATTTTTTTATGATACATAAAAGCATTTTCCACCAGGTTGCAAGGTGGTCAGACTCAGATCAACACAGACACATTATGTCGCTAGTGGGTAGGATGTTGGTGCTGGCAAAAAGATCAGTGAACTGTAAGAGATGCAGTTAAAATGGGCAAGTGGGTGTAAAAAAGGCTTTATCTAGATTGTCTTCAGTTATAATCACATTTAACACAAAAGGAAGTAAAGTGCAAAATATGTTTATTAGTCTCCTGCAAAAAAAAAAAATAATAATAATTATACTGTACTGTAATAATAATAAACAATAAGAAAGTTTTGAAACAAATTGGAATGTTGAAATGAAGGCAGAAAGATTGGAAGTGGGAGGCAATGGATGGGAGATGGGTGGATATTCAGGAAGCAGTAATGTTTGTGAATGAATGGTTTTGGGGGATGAAAGTGCTGTTGGTAGGTGATACAGTACTGAATTTTATGAAGCAAGAGGGATAATCCAAATGGATATCATGAGGTCTTGCCATGGAAATGAACACAATTGTAGAGCACACCTGTTGCAATAACAAGGAAAAGCAAATGATAGTGAATGAAGGAAGATTTTTTATGACCACCCAGCATGGTATATGAAAAGGCTGGCAAGATTGAAAGAAAATGTAGGTGAAGATCGTTACCTGTTATGTGAGTGGGTATATGTTCTGTATATGGTGGATCTTCTGAAGGCTTTAGTTTTATATAAGAAAAGTTAAGGCTAGAATTTTCTCTCATTTTATTGAGGTTATTTTTTTATTTGGTCAGGTAATAATGAAATATTTTGGTAATGGGGTGTATTTTGTTAAAGGAAAGAGGTTCCCTTCTAATTTCTTGTTTGGAAATAATGATTGCCAATTAGAATAACAGCTTTAGGTAGCTACTGACTTGTTTTTTGTCTGGCCATTTTTCTACGACTATCAATTCTGTGTTGGTGACACACAGATATTTCATTGCAGCTGCGTGTGGTGTGTTTTCCAGGACTGGCTCATTCTAGCTCTACAACTGGAGAAGGCACGGTACCCCAGCCACTACTGGCGTGTGTAGAGCCTCATCCTTCCTTGCTCCCATCCCCTCAACACCCAACCAGTGATCTATCATATCTAGGCCTCAATAGGGGTTTGGATTGTTCCTCCTTGGTCCACGCCCATCCACACAGTGATGCTCCTGCCCTCTCCTGTCCACCATATGATCCTCCACCATCGTATCCTTTGGAGGTCACAAGTAAGGTTCCTCCTCCACCCTCAAGAGACATTTCATCCATGGCAGCTCCACAGTCACAGACTCAAGTGGGGCATGAAGCAACACTGCAGAATGTGAATGTACGACCTGCAGGCCACCCACGTGGTGATCCTCCTCCTTACCATGGTCGTCATGAAGTATTCTCTCAGCAGTATGGAGGCACAGGATTACAACCACCACCAGTTAATACTACTGAGCAGTTACCTGCTCCACTAATACCAGGCAGCCCACCCATGAATTTTAACCGTCGAAGGGGTCCTAAAATGTCTCCTAGTGCCCCAAATCTTGCTACTGATATGCCTGTACCTCGACCTCCCATGTGTCGTAACCCACATCACCCAACAGTCGCTTGCAGGAAATGTAACAGTGTTCGTAGTAGCAACAGGCAGAATGCTGCTATCCTAGTTCGTCGGGCTAACTCAAGTGCAGGTCACACTTACAGAAATTCCGCACCTCTTGCAGCATGCCAGGCAGGCCTCGACACTGACGATGCCCCAAGTATCCTGGCTCGTCTCAGAAGAGAATGGGAAATGGGAAATATCCCATCATTTGGAAACAACTCAGTCCCACAGAGTTTGTCATCTCATACTGAGACTCAATCAAAACCTTTCACTTCAAATGCCACTGCTAGAGATAAACAGTCTCAAAATTCTACTGTAACAGATTCATCACAAGAACCTTCTAAAGAGAAACAGTTACAAAAAGAGCAGTCCTTACAACAAAACTTTACATCAAATGAAGCTGTAAAGAACCAACAGCATCAAAATCAACATACTTCAGAGAAAACAATTAATAATCAAGAGCAACAAACACAATCATCAATATTAAGAAACTCTTCATCTGATACAAAGAGTCAAAAACAGCAGACATTAACAGTATTAACTAACACAAGACATGAGCAAGTGACTGGATCAAAATCCAATTTACCTATTTCTACCATCCCTCTTTCCAGTCAGAGTACTAACCTCTCCCAATCAACATCATCTGCTAAACCCAACCTTTCTAGTAGGGTACAGAACTTATTTAGTTCACCATTAAATCTGTCTGACATTTCCAACTCTAACACCATCACAACAGATGCCAAGAATAATACAGTATTTTCTGTAAACAATAAAGTTTCAAGCCAGGATCAGACAGCTAAGAAAAATGATATAAATCAACTTAATAATAACCAGGAGGGTAAAATAGAGTTAATAATTTTAGAAGATACAGATCAACTGAAAACATCAAAAGATATCACTAAACCTTTGCAGGATATTATATGATATACAATGATTTCTTAAATTTGTCTGAAAGTGTACAATCACTTGGTTGATTGGATTTTGACCCTGTGATAAGTTGCTCCTCTGAATGCCCCATGTACAATGGAGTTAGAAGAGTTGTCTGGATCATCAACTTGATCCACAACAAGATCTTCAAATTGAGGATGTCTTCAAGATCTGATTCACAGTATACATGGAATCCTGTTTGTGATTCCTTGTTATTTGGAGAGGTGATACTCTCTGTACTGATGTGATGATACAGGTGCCCTTTCCTAGAGCTCTGAGGCTACAGTTGAAAGATATCGGTCCGTCCAAATCAATCCCGACTCAGTATTTTAGTATTGGATCATGTGATCCTGTGACAGTTTATTGATTTTATGTACAATTTGTCATTGTGGCCAAGATAAAACTACCTGTTTCTTAGATTTGAAATATGTAAATCCTTCTTTTAAATACATTACAATTTCAGGGTAAATTGTATTGTAAATTTGAACAGCCCACATCTTGACATTTTGATAACTAATCAAGTCTAATCTGAAGACTTTATTTTCTTATCAAATAGATATTTAATTGAATATCCAAACTGACACGGAATTATTTTTGTTGGACTGTATATATTTAGAATACTTGGGGAAGATTGACTTTTCCTATTATAGTCACCTTGGCTTTAAGTGGTTATATTGATGTATTGATTTTTTTTTTTATGTGATCTTGAAAACTGGATAATTGGTAAAGATGCTGCTGAAGAATGGTTTGCTGTTTTGGTCATTGCTAAATTTTCCCATTTACAGTATGTCTGATGTGACAAAGTCTTTCAAGAGATTTTTTTTCTTTTGTGATAAGACGTCTGAAGTTAGCAGTAATGAACAAACTTGCTGTCATACAGGTTGTCAGTTGGTGCCATGGTTGCAATTGTCAATGGAAATTTTGTGCCATTACTGTTGTGTGATGGTCTGTGCCTAGTGAAGAATATCTTACATTGGTGCTATTTTGAGTCACGTGTCCAAGTAATATTAACAATAGAAATTAGTACTGTATATTCATACATGTAAGGTAATGTTTCTTGTTTATATAGATCTGTATCTCGATTATCTTGGTATTTCTTTTTACTCAGATTTATGGACAGTTCACACGAGTAGCATTTGTTAAAAGCAATTCAGCAGAGAACTGTTAATAAATAGAAAAAAATGATCTCCAGGACAGTCAAGACTTTTATATACTGCAAATGTACATTGAAGGATCCAGTGTACAGTTTGTTAGATAATGTGTATATCCAGTTATTTATGACTGCATTATTGGTGGATTTATTTGTAATTTTTTTTAATAAGATGCACATGAGATTTTTTAATAACTTCAAATTGTACTTTTTTATGCTTTATTTCTAATAGAAAGGGTTGATACAGCAGTGTGTAATAAGAGGATGTTCTGTTACTTCTGAAATTTAGTTTTCCAGTTGTGAAATACTGTACTGTATATCTGTAATTATCACCCATAAGCCTAACTGTACAGTAGATTATGATCAATTTTCACTTGGAAGCTGAAGTGGATTAAATGTCTCCTTATACTGTAGTCTTGCATTAAAAGCTATGCAGTGTGATAATGGTATTCTTCTGTGATACTGGGTATTTACTTGGTTATGTCTTTGAGCATTATATGGTTAAATCATTCATAAGATTGGGAAATGTATTGACATTTTGTTATCAAGTAGTAAGTGTAAATGTGCTTTCATTAGTGTTCTGAGAATTCTCTTAACCATTTATGCATAAATGGGAGACATATCACATTGGGTTTAGAAAATAATAATTTGCTACTCCCACATTCCTGAGAAGCCAGGTTTCATCTTGATGCTGAGGTGAGTTGGCAGTGTCACTCACTGTGGCATGCACAGAGCTGGCCTCTGTCATCTAAGTTCCTGCACCACCTGACCCTTCCTTGCCCAAGTGACTGCCACCTCACTCGCTGAATTATGTATTTTGTATTAATTTTAACCCTCACACACATGCCACAAATTGCGTCATATCATTTGCATTGGTGTCATGAATCGTGTCATAAAACGTTAAAAGTTTAATGATGCGATTCATGTCGCCGAGGCAAATAATTTTACATGAATTGCTTCATTAAACTTTAACCCTCTAGCGCATCATGATGCAAATCGCGTCAAATCATATTCATCAGTAATGCAAATCACGTCATTAAACTTTAAAGTTTGTTGATATGATTCACTGTCACCAATGTCTATGATTTGATGTGATTTGTGTCATGATGCGCAGGAGGAGGGTTAATGACTAAGTTACAAGTAGGAAATGCCCTCAATCTTTCAAACTCAATAAAGAGTAACTGTAAATTTATAAACTTAAGCACTACATATGTGGGTCAACTGTGTTTTTGCAGTCATTTATCAGGAATTTATTTGTGCCAATTGTCTCCCAAATTAGACTAGTGTAGTTTATCATTTTTTTTTTTTTTTAACAAATGGAAATAATTCGGTTCCAAACCCAGTATCACATTTCTATACCCAATGGCTGCACAATGGATTAGCTAAGGAAAAAATCTCTTAAATGATTTTTTGTTAACTAAGAAACATGGGAAAATCATGGACTACCATTATCTTTGACTAGCAAAGTTTAATATTGCTTCACATGCTTTTCATATTTCCCCAGTTGAATTATTCGGGAGTCTTATCCATGATCAGAAAATTTCAATATACAGTAGTGTATGTGGATGAATTATAATTCAAAATATATCTTTGATGTTACTTTATGCTGTAAACAATTTATGTTTAATAATGTATTTAGTAAAGCATACAAAAGTGAAACACTTCAGCCTTTTGCATAAAATTGGGACAGCATGATTTTAGTATCGTATGAAATATTACTCTGAAAAGAAAATATACTTGTCGCTGACATATATAAATTAGGTTGGCTCAAAAAAATTAAAATAAAAAAAAAATTTGAATTGTCATATTAATATACAAGTCTGCATGGACAAAATCAGAAAGATTGGACAGTACTGCATTAGAGACCCCAACACACTCATTTTTTTTTATTTGATAAATCTAAATGTCTATGAGGCCCACTTTAAAATTTCTATATAAGCATTGTCACATTTCTCATTAAAAATTGCTGTACGTAATTGCCTATTTAATAATTTTCAAAAGTACAGTTAATCCTTTTGTTTTCAATTTATTTTTTAAATGAATTTGTAACTAGGTACCGGTAAACACATTGGGCTTTTTATCTCTCTCTATGAAAAATTAGACATGGTTAGGACCTCTAAATACTGTATTATCCAATTTTTCTGTATTTTTCTTGCAGACTTTTTATTTTGACATGGAACAGAGGCAGCCTTGTTGAGAATGACAATTCAAACTTTTTTCTGGAGGGCCAACCAAATATGCAGTTTATATAATGCGAATGATCCACAAAATCTTGAGCTGGTGACCTAAGGATGGTTATTGCATCAAGTGTAGAAGAATAGTTAAGTCCTAGTATAATGTGCTCATGATTATGTGTAAATGTAGTGTATCTTTTGTATAGGATTTTCATTTAATGTCTTAGTATTAGAGCTTTGGTTTATGTTCCTGTTTTATTTCAACCAAAGAAGTTAATGGCTTATGATTCGAGCTGTATTTAGTTCTTTTTGTCTGCATTTTTGCTATCAACAGCCTTGCACTACTTTCAGAGCAAATAATATATCCAAGATATGAATCATTAATTTTCAATTTGACTTTTTTAAAGGGATGAAGACCTACTTTATTCTCAAACAGTGTTTGTTTTCTGTTAGAACATGAATATACACAAACATATACACAAATTTGCAAAATAATTCAAATACTGTACTAACAAAAAATTATTGGTTTAAAATTTTTTACACAGTGCACAAATTAAAATTATATCCACCTGGATGGAGAGAAAAACAAGAGAGTAAGAAAGCAAGATGTAAATTTAATGGTTCCAAATTTATTACCGATGCCAAATTTCTGTTTGGCGTATTTTTACATGCATGAGTCCTGAAAATTTTACAAATGATTCCAAAGATAAATCTTAAACCAGAAAAAGACATTCTAAAATCTATGATGTGCATTGCCAACAGTATTTACCTACATTATTCAAGAAAGAGGACATGGTAATGTCAGTTAATGGGATCATACAGTGGTCTGTTTAAACCTGGTCACTCTTGTCATTAAACACACTGACCTGATTATATATATATATATATATATATATATATATATATATATATATATATATATATATATATATATATATATATATATATATATATATATATATATATATATATATATATATATATATATATATCAACAGGTAATGTTGTAAAGGCTAGATACCTGACTCAGCAGGAGCACCATGTTGATACTAAGTGGCAAGTTAGTATGCTTTTGTGTAGAAATTTGACTGATTTACATTGTAAGGGTTAAACTGTATTTGATAAGATTAACTTTTCAAACATAATAATAGTTGTTGGATTTATTTTTGATGGACTTTTTTGTATTAAAGAGGACCATGTATAGATTTGGTTAGTCAAGCATAACATTTACAGTTCATGATTTGAAACAAAAAACTAATTATCAAAACTATTGATCTCAATGTGTTGGATATATTCCCACCATTGACTCAAGACAGTACATTAATAGTCACAAAGAGTTATTATCATGTCTTTATAACTTTGTAGTGATGGTGTATTATGCATGATTAATTCATGTCAGATTGATATTTTTACCATATGATCTGCTTCTAAGGCCCAAGCCTTTCTGTATTTACCGTTTCATTTCTGATATAGTGCTATTTTAAATCTTTTATTTGACTTTTTATTTGTAGTATTTTATTAATCTATGATAGTTTCTTCAAAAGATGCAGAAATGTCTGCTGTGTCTTCCATGTAATCACCGAATATTACTTGTAACTATGAAAAACTAAAGCAAATTTTAGTAAAACTCAACACTGATACCATAAGTTTTGAAAAATAGCATTAAACTGTACCATTCACAATGGACTTCTTATGCTAAAAATAAATGGTGAGGTTGTAATGAATCTCATTCTCAATCATTAATAAAAAGAAAAGGATCTGAAGATTGTGTAAGCTTTAATTATTGATATTACTTGTTTGACAGTCTCTTGGAAGGGCATTATATTATATTTTTGTCTTCCTTGATACAATGGCTATGTTTCAAATAGAAATAAATGAGGTAGCAGAATTAGTTGTTTTCTTTACACAAATGTTCTTCCACAGTACACTAATATATTAATGCTTGTGTTGTCCCAGGTTATCACTCTCCACGACCATCTTTTCTGCATAAATTAATCTAATAATTCAGAGATTCATATGCAGAAGGGATGCGGCATTGAAAGTTGCCGTAACGTGAACCATCATTTTCCCATTGACTTCCATCATATACAGCACAAGTGGAGACGCATTCCATAGGAATTAAAAAAAAAAAAAGTGCCGGTAATTCAAGCACTTTTATGAATAAAAAAACATTTTTACTACATAGTGATTATTTTATGATGTACTGCAATAGTAAATACAGTAGGGTCTCAGAGTACGTGTATCCATAGTATGCGATCCCACAATACCTGCACTAATTACTATACAGTACTCTCCAACTATATTTTCCGAGGTGATTGGTTGGTGTTTTTATGTTCTTCTGGATGTACTTAATTACTGTAGTTAATCCCACCAAATTTTAAGTTGAACATAGATAAGGAATTGGCATGCTCAAGAGTACCTATCATTCTCATATCACTCAATTTATGAGCTGGGTAAAAATTTTGGGAGTTGCCTGAAAAAGCAAAATGTGACCTCTGAACCATTTTTAATGCATGGATTTCTGACTAAGAAATAAATGTCAAATGCCGCTAGAGTAATGTCATTTATCAATCTCACGTTCGCCGATAATAGACAACCAACCAATCAGAGCAGAGCGTACTCACGGGAAAATAGCGTCAGTTGAAACTTTGCCGGTCACAGCAAAGCTATCCACTGCCTTAAATTTAACAGGAGCAATGAACAGTACAGATTACTACAACAGTCTACCAGAGTGACACGAAAATAAGGAATCTTCAACACTTCATTTCATTATCACTTCTAAAGATACCTTATAGCACTCCAAAAAATCGTCACAAGGCTGATATTTGTGTACAGTAATTATTATTACTCTATACATGTACTGGGGTTAGAGGTTACTCTGGCACACGCACACTAATCACAACTCCATGATACAACCTTACCTCTCGTCACTTATTAATATTATACCTGTTAACACTCTTTACAACACAGGGCACATCAGTATTCATATTTTCAGTGAGAATAATATACTTCAGACAGATACATACAGTATGAATTACCACTGGGCTTATGCCAGCTGGAATCTAAACATTGGCGTGCGTTTACCCTCAGTCTCTCAGTGAATCCGCGGCCAAGCTCGCTAAGTGCCGAGTCTAGGCTTCGGTTGGTACACCCATACATGGCTTCACATGTCGGCCTACTTGGCTTGGTCCCTGATGCACCCACTCAAACCAAACCCAATTTCTGTTTACTCTATACATCGTGCCTGCACTGGCCACCTGCCCTCGGCAGCCCCAGCAACACATACAGTGCCTGTTATACAGAGAATAAGGTGCTCAAAGTTATAAAAGGAAACAGTTACAAAATACATCTTGGTGCAAGGAAACGAATATGCATGAACACTTAACACCCAAAACCTTAGGTTATGTTAAAGAAGGAACACCGACATTTTCAACCAAAATTCTACGAAGTCAGATTCACGCAATATGACAGTTTCAGATACAGAGTAACATACCAATTATGCAGGAAATAGGGCGTCAAAAATGAGCTGTCTGCTGCAGGAGACGGAGAGAAGGGAGCCTTACTTTCACTTTACTTATATCCTCTTCACAATTGATCGGCTCGTTAGCCGCTTGGGCGATAGGTCACGTCTGTTACACACTGTTGGCAAGTACTGGGCATGCACCGGCTCCTGAATGTACCTAAACCTGCTCCAGTGTTGGTCAAGTCTGGTCTTGAAAGAGCTCTCACTCGGTGCTGTCACAACACTTTCTAGTAGATTGTTCCAAGAGTTCACAACTCTCACTCCGAAAAAGTTTGCCCTGACAGTTTTCTGGACCTGGGGCTTCTTCAATCTTGAGCTGTGACCTCTTGTGGGGCAAGCGTTCGCCAGCTCCAAATAAGGACACTTGACTGAGTAGTGTCCCTTGAGATGCTTATACACCTCAATTAGGTCGCCCCTTGCCCGTCTGTAGTATAAGCTAGGCAAGTTCAAGCGCTCCAATCTCTCAGGGTAGTTGAGGTGCAGAAGTGCAGGCACCAGTCTGGTGGCCCTCCTTTGAACATTTTCAACCAACTGACAGTCCCTAGCATATCTCGGGGACCAGACGGGGTGACAGTACTCCAGATGGGGAAGCACTTCACTCTTGAAGATCGTTACGAGGGATGGACCGTCTAGATATCTGAACGACCTTCTTATAAGACCCAACAATTTATTTGCCTAATTTACCTTTTTCTCGCAATGGCCTGAGAACTTCAGCTCATTGTCAACATACACCCCGAGGTCCTTCTCACATTCAGTCTCAAATAGTGCAGATTCTTCATCCCGTTGGGACATATGATACACCTCCTTACCGTTGGTACGCCCCAGGTGCATCCTCTTACACTTCGTGACATTGAATCTCAGCAGCCATATCTTCGACCATTCTTGGAGCTTACAGAGATCCTTCAGCAGCTCTTCACTGTCCGCATGGTTCTTGATTTCCCGAAATAACTTGGCGTCATAGGCAAACATTTGTATGGAGGAGTGTACCTGTACAACGTCAGGCATGTCATTTATGAAACAAACAAACAACGGCGGGCCCAATACACTGCCCTGTGGTACCCAGCTTGTGACAGGTACAGATGATGATTTGGTGCCATTAATGATCACACAGTGCTTGCGGTCATGTAGAAAGTCTTCTATCCACGCTAGGACATTTCCCCGAATTCCATACCCTTCCAGTTTGATTTTCAGCCTTTCATGGGGTATACTGTCGAAAGCCTTGGCAAAATCTAGGAATATATTGTCGATATTACCACCCCGTTCCAGAATATGGGTCCAAATATCCAATACCTTGGGCAGTGGTGTTAAGCAGAAGCGCCTCGGCATAAAACCGTATTGGCAATCCTTTTACAAGGTTGTTTCGTAGTAGACGTTCCATCGCGGCATCTCTGATAATATTCTCAATTACTTTACATATTATGCTGGTCAGACTCACCGGTCTATGGTTGTTCATGGAGTGACGATCGCTTGAAGATAGGACTCACATAAGCCACTTCCCAATTATTGGGACCTTTTGTTCATCCAGGCATTTACAAAACAGGCCTATAGGCTCTGAAAATAAAAGGAGATGGGAGAGGAAGGTAAAGTCAGAAGAGGGAAGTACAACAGAAGGTCAAAAGCAGATGAGCTATCCACCTGGTGGGGACGAAATTAAAGTCCAAGGAGGCAAGGTTGACAAGCTAAGCTAAACTTCACTCACTCAGGCAGTGGTACTCATTGCGTGGCTCACGACGACTTATTTGCGACTCGAAAAAAAAAATTATTGTATATGTAAAGGTTACAACAAGCAGTGTCTCTTAATAATGTATTGCGCTAATTTATGGTAGATGCTGCTCTCTCAAGTGAATGTGTTTTGACAAAGTGGATCCCTTGCAAAAATTAGTGAATAACACTGATCTAGGGTCTTGTGTTTGGTTTGGTTTGGGAACCTCTAGGTCCTTGTTTCCCATCTTTTTCTTTAATGTGTATATTTGCAGTGGATCTGGTTCTTGTTGGGTTTTTTATACTTTTTGGCCACCCGTTGTGCGATATATTGTGTTATTTGGTGTTATTTGTATTGTGTTATTTGGTGTAATATGGGGCGACCTGTCATGTAATGGTCAGCATACTCGCCTCGGGTAGGGTGAAACTATGAGCACGCTTCTTTACGCCTGTAGTGGACGTCTCCCCTACAACTGCGTATCCGCATTCCGATGCGCCGCCGTATCCTAGCAACCAAGCGAGCGGCGACAGCAGATGTTACCACCTTCCCTAGCAACGAACCAAAGACCGGCGACTTTCTCGGGTTTTCCCAACATGACTCATAGAGGACTCACGGCTGCTGGGTATATAAGCTCTGTCTCTCCATTGAGATTCATTCTCGCCTCACTTCTACAACACGCAACACCTCCTCCTCCGCCGCTGCCTGGCGGCCCTCGCTTCTCCTCGCCTGCCTGGCGGTCCTCGCTCCCGCCAGCGGGCATGGCGACCCACCAGCTGTCCTTCTCCGAGCTTCCTCACCAACCAGCTCTCATTCTGGTCTCTCTTCTTGAACAAGCAACACCTCCTCCAGCAAGCTCCACGCTGTCAGCATTCATTCAACCAGGAGGCCAGCAACATGCAACATCTTCTCTAACGAAGCTCCTGCACATCTACCTCCTTCAACACGCTACTCACCGAACGTCTCTACTGAGCAGCTCCTCACCACACGGCACCTCCAGCACCAGACTGTCTATCATATAACTTATATTATACAAGAAAACCACCTTAGAGTTTCCATCCATCCTGAGTGCTAGACAACATTATACCACGAACTCCTACACGCCATTTGCCTCTGTCCACCCAGCAGTAATTGGGAACCGGGATGTTAATCGATTTGCGGGTCATGTTCCGAGGTAATGGTTAGCCAGTGCAGTTGGCGAGTTGTCCAGTCTTCTCGGGCTATTCCTTGACACTGGGTCATGCAACTCATTAACTTAGGGTGTGGATGTTGTGTTGGCCACAGCTTCTACACCTTAAACAAATTCACGCTTAGGTGGCCCTTGGGCCAGCCATCCTTGTTACACGAGGGGCAACCATTATTATTAATATGAGGGACTTGTGTGTGGTGGATTTTTTCCCCAAATTGCTGGCCTTTAAAAAAAAAAATAATACAAAACGGAAACAATAAAAAAAAACGAGGAGAGAGACCGAGCAAACAACCATATCAACGATGATCAGCAAGACACAATTACACGTGAGAAACGACAACAAGACCTACGCGGTGATAGTGAAGGGGTAAACAACACAACAGGAAACAAAGAGGAAGAAGAGAGGGAAGTACGAGAAAGAATAAGGAAGGGAAGGTCAATAGAGGAGGAAAGGGGCAGAGAATATGACTATCAGAA